CATCTTGAACGAGTTGCTTCTTCCAGGTCATTACAAGTGGGCACTGGACAAGTTGTTCTACAAGCACAATTTCAGCAAAGTGATCATTCTTGAAGGTAAATAATACTTGATCTTGCTGTCTCACATGATTGCATCCATATTCCTGTGTCTTCCCATTAATATATCTAATTAGAGAATTGGCTTCAAAATTTGCGCTTAAGTTCACCTTTATGGTCAAATGCAGATGACATGGAGATTGCCCCTGATTTTTTTTGAGTATTTTGAGGCTGCAGCAGGTTTACTTGACAGAGATAGGTATGTCTCTCATGTTCATTGTATTTAATGTTTATAATTTGCAGAAGGCTAAGTTCTGTATTGAAGGATTAATCTGATAATAGAAGTTTAGTTACTTAGGATCCTTTTTCTGCAGCCCTCCTTAAACTGCTGACCTTGTGTATTTTGTTGCTTGTTTGTGAAATTGTTCAATCATAGGTCAATTATGGCTGTTTCCTCCTGGAATGATAATGGACAAAAGCAGTTTGTGCATGACCCTTGTAAGTTTTTTTATTCCTTACTGATTTCTGAAATGATGTATTCATGAAACTTATTTTGCTCTGTCAAACCTGCTGGAGTCTGGATGTGCTTATAGCCTTATACGCAGACCACTCTACAATACCTATGGATCCATAACCTTTTCATTAATATGTAACTCTAAGCCTATAAATTGACCTATTTAATGGAAGCAAAAGGTTTAGGTAAGTCAGAATTTATAAAGCTTTACTCCGTGATGAGAATTTAGCCACTCATATCAAGGCTTATCAGGTCGAAGGTTTTTCCTTTATTTGGTTATAAGATGAATGAAAGCACTTTTCACATCATACCTAAATCCGCATTATTATTTCACGCAATGTTTATTCCTGTTTGAATGTGATTTAAGTAGCTCATCTCAAGGTTTTTGTTTGTTGCATACATGGTAATCTAATATCTTTATCTAACCATCCATTATGATACGTTGTTTTTTTAATTTTTGGTCACTTAATTTTTGTTGTAATTATTGTTGTTGTATGTTTGATTTATTTTCCATCATCTATGCACAGACCTGTATCATCAATGTTTTCTGTGATGTTATGCAGATGTACTTTATCGATCTGATTTCTTTCCTGGGCTTGGATGGATGTTATCGAAAGATACATGGGATGAGTTATCCCCAAAGTGGCCCAAGGCATATCCTTCATATTTTTTCTTTTCATCTTGTATATGTTTTGGTGTTGATTGATCCATGTACAAGTTTTTCCTTGACAAAAACTCTACTTACTGGGATGATTGGTTGAGACTGAAAGAGAATCACAAGGGTCGACAGTTTATAAGACCAGAAGTTTGCAGAACGTATAATTTTGGCGAGCATGTATGATCTAGCTCTACCATTTTTATGCTTTAAACTTGATATGCATGTGAAAATCTAACTTTCAGCAAAGCTAAACTTTCATGATACACATTATTGTAGCATCTATAAGTACGTTCAGAAACTGGGTCTTTTGAAGTTACATATGTGGTTTGTGATAATTACTAATGTGGTCATGTTATTCATCTGTGGGCTCTCCTGCATAGATTATATTTGTCATTTAGAAAGTTTGCTGTTTTATGCTTTGATTCTCTGAATGGATTCCACACTGCTTATCAAAAGGCTTTTAATGATTTCTGTGCAGGGGTCCAGTCTAGGGCAGTTTTTCAGCCAATACCTTGAGCCAATTAAGCTCAATGATGTGGATGTGAGTGCCAGTTATCTTCAGTGTTAAAATGACTTGTTCCCCCCCCCTTAAATTATGAACTTTCTCTAACTTTCAATTATCCTTCTTATCCCTGTGGTCTTTACTTCTGCTAGGTTAAGTGGAAGTCAATGGATTTAAGCTACCTGATGGAGGTTAGTAACATTGGAACCTTTCTACAGGCATACATGTCAAATTGTGAAGGCATTATTGTTATTTAAATTTACAGCATATTTAGTTGTCCAGATTATATGTCTGATAACTTATTGGTGCTGTATCAATTACATACTACTAAAAGCGAATGAAAAAAGACACTTGTCAATATTGCATTAAAAATTTTCCCTCCTAAAGTACCTTCTTAAAATAAATCATTGTTACGGAAAAAATTTTGTATCTAAATTATGACATTTGTTTTATATAAAATATAATTCCTTTCCAAAAATATTAAACTGTCCATTATAACTGATACATGTAAATTAAATATTTTCTCTTGCTTCTTTTTATTTTTAATATATACCATATTTTTAATACTCAAGTCATTCTATTTATATAATTTTTATAATATTATTTTCAAAAGTATTTAACAACCGTGCATTGCACGGAATTTAACCTAGTATAGACATATAGTCCATTAATCTTAGAGTTTAAACGTAACAATCTAAATAAATTAACCGCGCTCAATATCTGTTGACTTATGTGCTTCTAGAGTCAAATCAACTAGGGCTTGAATACTGAATATCGTGCATTTGAGTTCTTGGCTCAGAGTAGATTTTTTGCAACTTTTGATTAAGCCCATTGTTGGTTCATTTATCGTAATAATGTCATTTATTGATGTTCAGGACAGTTATATAGAATACTTTGCCAGCCTTGTGAAAAAGGCTAAACCAATACATGGTGCTGATGCTGTAGTGAAGGCCAATGGTGTAGATGGTGATGTACGCATTAAGTACGAGGATCAGCCAGAGTTTGAAAGCATTGCCAGACAGTTTGGTATTTTTGAAGAATGGAAGGTATATTTTACATCTATAGATTGTTAAGACCCCTTGTCTAATCTCTTCAAGCCTTTAATTGGCTTAATATTGAAATTCAATTCAGGGTCAATGGGTCATGCCTTGGTCTCGTATTCACATTAAAGATGACTCTTTATAACATGAACTGTTTTATGTTAAAATGCTTGTTCCTTAATATCCTTGTCTAATCTCTAATTTTTGTAAAAATTTGTTTGCTTTCAAGAATTCATTTGATTTTTGGTTTAAATAATGGGCTAAGGGCTCATTAAATTGCATGTTCCTTAATATCCTGGGATAGAGTCAATATGTTAAAAAAAAAATAAAAAAAATAAAAAAAAAACCCCAGCAAGAGTAAGGCTGCAGACATAATTCAGGCCCCAGTGGAAGTTAGTGATATTATTGATAGTCTTGTTTGCTTCAAGATACTACTGTAGGCCCCAGGTTATTTGGTGGAAAAACACATTTTGGTCCCACTTCACTTTGTTGAGTCTTATTTGCTTCAGTATCTTTTTGGTTTGCACCGAAACCCTGACATTGTACACTTACAGAGTAGTAGCTTTGCATTTTGGGCCTTTGTTATGTGTGTGGTGTCCCTGATGTGATCAGTAGCAAGGGTCTTTGCTTCTTTTCTTTCTTTCATAGTCGCTTGTTTGTAGTTGCTGTAATTTCAAGGTGTTTTTTCCTGCTAAGAACAAGTTTTACATAATGAGCAGATTGAGCTCTGCAATGCAAGTTTATGGCTGTGTTCCTTAATCGAGAAAAACACTTCGTATAAAATTAGGATGCTTGTACATGACCTAATCTTTTCGTTGGATCAGGATGGTGTCCCCAGGGCAGCATACAAGGGAGTAGTAGTTTTCAGATATCAGAGTTCAAAGCGTGTCTTCCTTGTTGGCCCAGATTCCCTAAAGCAACTTGGAATAGAATCATCCTGAATTTATACAGGTTAGAACCTTAAAAGCAATTTACGATTTTTCAGCTCCTCTTCCCCCCTCTCCTTCCTCCTATTTTGTAGATCTCAAAGGAGAAGAACTCGAATGGATTTTGCTGGCAGCAAAATTTGGAAATGCCTGAAAGATGGGGCCTTTGGGGTGAATCATGTTGTAGTTTGGTACATCTTTCAAACGTGTGTGAAATTATTTTTTCTGTGATGGCATAGGTGAATCTCCTGTCACACTAATCAGACGAAGGGTTTTGGCAAAATTCCACTTATAGAACATGACTGAAGGGTCTGTGAATGTCTACAGTGCTGTTTCAAGGTCTGCCAATGCTCAAGCTTCACTGTTTAGACTCTGTGCTACTGTTGAACAGACGCAACCTAAGTTAGACCCAAGCAACTCCTAAGATTTGTAGGTGTCTCCGATAGTTGTATATTGGGCTGTAATCATCATAGTTGGAGCCCTGGAGAATAGTGACATAGTGTAGGTCTCAATTTGTAGAGCCTTCTTGTAATGCTGCTACCCTAAATTTTGGACTTGCTTAATCATACCATGAGAGACAATTATGGATGTGACAAGAATATTAGTATAGTTTCATTCTCAAGTGCAAATATGGTATACCTTTGTTCCTAGTATTCTAAAAGTATGTACACAATTGAAATACACAGTAAATGAACTAGGAACTGCTTCGTATTCATTATGACATTGATAATCTGATAGTCATAGTTAACATAGTAATAGTTCAATTTTACATTTTTCTATGAGTAACCAGTTTGTATAGTTGCTTTTTTGGTTGTACCAAAAATTTAAAAAAAAAAAAAAAAAAGCCATAGATTTGATAAAATCATAAAACACTTAAAACTATTGATGATCCTTTTTTTTTTTTTTTTTTGGGTCTGCTTCAATTAGTTCAATAATCTCAGTTTTGATCAACATTCATCAAGTAATCCCAACGTTGAGCTAATTCATAATGATGTCAGCTTTAGCAACATTAGTATCTCTATTTCTTAATTTTTTTACTGATTAGAGAGGTTGAAATTGTGTTTTGGAATATAGTCTTCTACTAGGTTATGATACTTGTTTTCCCGTTTTATGGACTTGGGCCTCTATTTTTTTTCATGACGTTTGGTCGTAAGGATAAAAAAAATTACCTAATTGGTCTTAGAGTACTCTAAGACTCCAAGTATATAAATATTCCGTCATAAGAATCATGTTACAAAGGGTGTAAAAATAGAAGAGAGAAAAACAATTGACAAATAATGACAAAATCCTTATGCAAATTGTGATGCTCACTTACTCGTCGGATTTGTTGTATGCATTCACGGATGGGAAGATTGGGAACAAAGCAAATACGTAATGAAGAAGATAAAATACAAGTTGAATTTCATGGTAAACGACCATTGTATGTTTTTTTATTGATTATGAATAATACCGCTAATTCGTTATAGTGTAAATCTTCAATGGTATTACGATTTTACTCCGTAGATAAACATAAGCCGTTTAGTAAAGAAAGTAATTGAGAGTTCGAGACCCATTCACTTTCTACAGCAGCAGGAAAGGGCATGTAATTGCTTGTTTGCTTTCCTTTATTGTCAAAAAAAAAAAAAAAAAAAAAAAAAAAACAGAAACCTAAGTTAAGTGGACCCCAACCCTTTTTTCTCTCCTCAAAACCTTAAACCCTCCACTTCTCCAACATTCCACTAAACAATGGCGCACAAAAAAACCAAAACCACCGCCGCAACCACCACAACCACCACCGGAATCCAGAAGAAGCGCGACAAACGCAGTATATCAAACCTTAAAACCAAAAAAGCCAAAACCGCCGCCGCCGCCGCCACCACCACCGGCGACGAACGCAGTCAATTAGACCACGTTCAACAACTAGGTCAACAACTCCTCTCCTCAAAAGCTCACACCAACAACCTCCATCTTCTTCTCACTTACATCTCCCCTTCTTCTCCTCCTTCTCTTGTCGTCGAATCTCTTCTCTCTCTTCAATCCTTCTTCCACCTCCACATCTCCACTCTTCCTGCTTCCTCCAATGGCGCCGCCGCAAACTCCGCCGCTTCCGACCCCGATGTCATTTACCGCACTTGGCTTCGCTCTAAGTTCGACGACCTCGTCAAGTCGTTGCTTCATATCGCGGTTTCTCCTCTATCTGATGAACTTGTTCGTGTGAGTTTCTTTGATTCGAGTTTCATTCGAGTTGGTGTGAGTAATTTGTACTTCGTATTAAATTGCTGCATTTTCATTTCAAACCTTGATTTTTCAAATTTTGGATAGCTAATGAAATTGCGTGTGTTTCTTTCATCATTTTTGATATATATCCGGAAAATTTTGGTTGTTTTCACAATTGAACTACTCAAATTTTACTTAATTTATCTATATGCCTGCAAATTCTATGATTGTAAATCTCTTTATTCTAATGTTTGTGTTTCATTATAATTGGTATTAAGCTGCTGCATTTTCAATTTAAAGCTTAATTTTTTAAAAAAATTTGGATTGTACATAAAATTGCGTATGATTTTTTTATTCAATTTGATGATCATCCCGAATTTTTTTATATTGATCAGAATTTACTTAATTTTTCCTTTTGCCTGCAATTTATATGTTTTAAGCTTGTTTTTTCTATAATAATTGAGTTCTACTTATTCTGTAACGTCCACCATGATAATTGATTTTGCTATTTCTATTTTTCAGGAGATTGTATTGGATACATTAATGGAGTTTGTGCAGCTTGGAAATGGCGAAAAGTTTTATTCTGCTTTATACCATAAGCTTATTCAGGCAATTGTGAGTTAGTTACCTGTGTCACGGAATTTTGGTTTTTCATCTTGCTGCTTGTTTATATACGTAGCAATTTTGGAGCTTACTGTTGATTTTTAGGAATTGCTTTTAATGATGTAATCTGCATTCTCTCTAATTGGCAGATTTGTTCGTCATTGGAAGCTGAGTTCTTACTCGAAGTCTTAGCTTCAAAATATTTCAAGTACGTCGATGTACGGTATGGGCCCTTTTCTGAATCACTTGCCTCTCCATTTGCGTAAATTTATTTTGGCCCTTTGGGCGAAGGAAAGGTTGTCAATTGTTTTTTCGGAAGACATCATGTAATTCTATGCATTAGACTCTGGGTACATTCTATTTCAATTCATACATTCCTCTATACTAAGAAATGTATAAATTATGCATTCCATTTAGGTGGTGTTTCCTCCTTATTAACTAGCATAGTAGCATCATGACTTTATAGGATGCAATTTGAATTTATATAATAGTTTTCATTCTGTTATTTACATTTTGAACAATTTGGTGCAGCTACTTCACCTTTATTACAGTTGAAAAACTCTGTAAAACATTGGAGTCCAACAATAGTTCAGGTACCTGATTTTCTTCCTCTATGTATGCTCTTTTTAAACGGTGCTTTTACCATCTATGTGTAATAGACTAACTTACTGCAATTATAATTTAAGACAATTTGCAAGAACCAAGGCTTAAACTTGAGTATTTGATTCACTGATGATTGAATTACAAGGGATAGGCATAACTTGAGGTTATGAATCTCACAGTAGCTTTAGGCCACAAGTCTCTCATGTGTTTTCACTAATTTCTGGATGGTCTCTACTGCCCCCTAACTACAATACATATACTCAAGACTTAACTAGAACATGTGACATTAATTAACTAAAATAGAAACCCACAAAGGTTATGATTAAAGGAGGCTGCCTTCTTTCCTCAACTTCCCCTTAATTGGCCTTGTCCTGTTGTTCATTGTTCCTTCTCACAATTGACCCTTGCTGCTGCCCCTGTTTTGCGCGCCTGGAGTACACCAAAAGTGATGGTTGAATTGGTCCGATAGCTTTGTTGACCTTATTGACCCGTTCCATAACATCACTCCCCCCTTTGAGCTTCACCTTGTCCTCAAGGTGGAAGGAGGGGAAGCGCTCATTGACTGCATCGAACTCTTCCCAAGTAGCATCATGCGCTGGCAAACCCTTCCAAGTGAGCAGCACTTCAAGCACGAAAACAGGACCTTTCTTAATGGTGCGCACCTCAAGCAATTCTTCTGGTTCCACCAACAATTCCAAGTCGGGGGAGAGTTGGGGTGGAATCGTGGGCTGGCAGGTAGAGTCCCCTAATGCTCGCTTGAGTTGTGAGATGTAAAACACGGGATGGATCTTGCAATGTGGTGGTAGTTGTAGTTTATAAGCTACTCTGCCAATGCGCTCCAAAATTTCAAAAGGCCCATAGAATCTGGCAGCCAACTTCTCAAATGGTCTCTTAGCAAGTGATTTCTGTCGATAAGGTTGCAATTTAAGGAACACTCTTTCCCCAATCGAAAATTCCTCATCTTTCCTCTGTTTGTCCGCGTAACCCTTCATTACTTGCTGTGCTCGGTTCAAATTCAATCGCAGCTCGTCCAATATCGCATCCCTCTCCATTAACATTTCTTCAAGACTGCTAACCATGGTTTGACCAGCCCCTAAACGCCACAGCTTGGGTGGATCTCTCCCGTAAACCACTCGAAAAGGTGTCATCTTAGTAGAGGTGTGGGGTGAGGTGTTATAAGAATACTCCGCCCACGGGAGCCATCGAGCCCAACTCTTTGGTTTTTCCGCAATGAAACATCGCAAATACATCTCCAGGCTCTTGTTCACGATCTCCGTTTGACCATCGGTTTGAGGATGGTAGGACGTGCTTCTTCGGAGATGCGTTCCTTGCAATCGAAACAACTCCTTCCAGAATATACTCATGAAGACTCGATCTCGATCCGACACAATGGATGCCGGAAATCCATGAAGTCGGACAACTTCTTTGACAAAGAAATCTGCTACTTTGAGGGCGTTAAAGGGGTGTTTGAGACCAATGAAATGGGCGTACTTCGACAAGCGATCCACCACTACTAACACCGCGTCGCTTCCTCGGGATAAGGGAAGACCCTCCACGAAGTCCAATGAAATTTCCTCCCAAACGGCCTCGAGAATAGGGAGCGGTTGGAGCAATCCTAACGGGCTCTTAGTGATAGTCTTGCTTCGTTGACAAACATCGCATTCCCGAACAAATTTAGCCACATCTTTTCTCATCCCGGCCCAAAACCAATCGGCGGTGAGCCGGAGATAGGTCTTGAGCTCACCGTCATGGCCACCAATGGGGGTACTGTGATACTCCTGCAAAAGTAAAGCAATATATTTTGAATGGTTAGGCAATACAATACGATCTTTATAAAAGAGTTTATCCCCTTCAATGTGAAACCCTTTAGGCCCTTCTTTTCCTTGTTTCAAGCCCAACATAATCTGGCCCAATCCTTTATCATTCTCCAACTCCTTCTCAAGATCAGCCCAGTCCACATAACAAGAGTGAACTAAAGACCCAAACTCAAACCACTTCATCTTCTTTCTTCGTCCCCTTCACTGGTTTGATAACCAGAGCTTCATCCTTGCGTGACAACGCATCAGCCACCCTGTTGGCGGTGCCCGGTTTATACTGAATGGTGAAATCGAACCCCACGAGTTTCCGAAGCCACCTCTGATATTCACTACTCACTTCTCGCTGCTCAATTAAGTACTTGAGGCTCTGCTGATCCGTGCGCACAACGAATGATCGACCCAATAGATAATGGCGCCACTTCGCCACCGCCAATGAGATAGCCATTAACTCCTTCTCATAAATCGATTTGGCCCGAGCTCGCACCCCCAGGAGTTTACTAAAGAAAGCAATTGGACGATCTCGCTGCATCATTACTGCCCCCAATCCGTATCCGGAGGCGTCGGTTTCCACCACGAAACCTTCGCGGAAATCAGGAACAGCCAGGACCGGGGCTGTGGTCATGGCGGTCTTCAGGTTCTGGAACGCTGCCGTGGCTTCCCCCGTCCATCCGTAATTTTCTTTCTTCAATTGAGCCGTGAGGGGGCCGGCAATCTGAGCATAGTGTTTGACAAACTTGCGATAATAACCTGTTAATCCCAAAAATCCCCTAAGCTCACGGAGATTCCTCGGGGTTTTCCACTCTACAATGGATCGAATTTTATCTCCATCCATGGAAACTCCCTGCTTCGATATGACATGACCAAGATATGCGATTTCACCCTTCCCAAATTCGCATTTCTTATAATTTGCATATAATTGATTTTCTTCCAACTTTTGAAGGACCAACTGCAAATGATGGACGTGCTCTTCCACTGCCTTACTAGATATTAAAATATCATCGAAAAAGACCAAAACGAACTTCCTTAAATATGGCCGAAAAACGTCGTTCATAAGTGATTGAAACGTCGCCGGCGCATTTGTGAGGCCGAAAGGCATCACGAGGAACTCATAATGCCCTTCGTGTGTCCGAAAAGCCGTCTTGTGAGTATCGCTCGGTCGAACCCGGATTTGATGATAACCGGATTTCAAATCGAGCTTGGAGAAAACCGTTGCTCCATGTAACTCGTCTAATAGCTCATCAATAACCGGGATTGGATATTTATCCGGAACGGTTTCCTTGTTGAGGGCCTGGTAATCTACACAAAACCTCCACGAGCCATCCTTTTTTTTCAGGAGTAAAACCGGACTTGAGAAGGGGCTAGAAGACGGTTTGATAATCCCGGATTCGAGCATTTCCCGGATAAGCCTTTCAACTTCATCCTTTTGAATTTGTGGGAACCTATATGACCTCACACTAATTGGGTCGACCCCATCTTTAAGAACAATGGAATGCTCATGGCCCCTTTCTGGTGGCAGCCCATTAGGCATATTGAAGACCCCTTTAAATTGGCCCAAGACATTCATCAAGTAAGAAGGTGGGCTAACTTCAGTTGGGCCCATTTCTTGTGTTTCAGCTTGATTGAATTCGACCCAAAGGCCTAACTTCTCTTTTTTAAGCACCCTCACCATGGCCTTTAACGAAACTTGGGTCTTTTCGAGAGTAGGATCTCCGGTAAGGGTCACCGGCACACCTCCGATGTTGAACTTCATGATGTGAGTACGCCAATTAGTCACCACCGGACCTAACTTCTCGAGCCATTGAACTCCTAAAATTACCTCGGCACTCCCTAAAGTGAGAGGAAAAAAATCCTCAATAACGGTGATACTTCCCCTCAATTCCACCTTGACTCCCTTACACACTCCTCTACCACGAATTGTATCCCCGTTTCCTAAGGATACCGCAAATTCCCCACCTTGTGAGATGGGTATGGCCGCTTGCTCTACTACCGAAATAGCTAAAAAATTATGAGTAGCCCCGGGATCAATCATCACCACTACTTCTTGCCCTTTTACTACTCCCCTCAACTTCATCGTTTTTGGGTTGTGTATCCCGATCACCGAGCACAACGACATGCCTCCAACCTCTTCCGACAGGGTGTCACTTCCCAACTCCGGCCCTTCGTCCTCCAACTCGACTTCACCCTCCGCGACTAACAACACACTAAGCTCCTTTCTCTTACAACGATGCCCTACACCCCACCTTTCATCACACTTAAAGCACAACCCTTTTGCCCTCCTTTCCGCTAACTCACTCTCGGTCAACCTCCTCGTAACCCCGGAAACACTTTGACTTGGGCCGACGTGGCCCGGCCCAAATTCACGGACCCTTGGGACTCAGGAGCCTTGGGCCAGGGTTTGGGCGGCCCACTGCTGCTTGGCAGCCCGTAGGAAGCTATGAGGCCTCCTTTACTGAAGGTTGGGTTGCCTTGTATTGGGCCAGAGTTTGAAGGCCCAGCCGTTGACCCACCTCTCCAATTACTTAATGGCTTCTTTCCCTGCTGAACCCGATTCTTCTCTTCTATTCTTCCTGCCATTTCCATGGCTCTTTCAAGGTTAGGCGGGTTGAGGAGTCTCAGCTCCGATTTCACTTCCTTGTTCAATCCGTGGATGAATTGCCCTAACATGATACTCTCCGGCACGTCCTCTAGCGGCGCCGCCATCTCAATGAATTTCCGACGATATTCTGCCACCGACCCCGACCCTTCTTGCGTCACCGCCAGCCACTGTTCGTGGAGCGTTCTCGAATGGGAAGGTCGGAATTCGCTCAAGGCCCTCTGCTTGAGGTCCGGCCACCCATAAAAAGGCCGCCGCTTTTGCTCCCACTGGAACCATTTCAGAGCGGCTCCATCCATCGCCACTACCGCCAGCTCCATCTTTTCCTTCTCCGTCAATTTGTAAAAATCAAAGTACATTTCGGCCCTCGCCGTCCAATTATCGGGGTCTGACCCGTCGAAGAGTGGCATCTCCAACTTCCGGTGCTTCCAGTGACCGCCTCCGCCACCGCCGCCGCCCTCTCCGGCTCCTCTCCAGCGCCAATCCCCTTGTTCAAAGTGCGGCCAGTCTTGCTCTTCGTACGGCTTCTCTCTACCTGGCGTGAGGTTATTCCCCCCACCCAATCGCGGGCTGTTCTCTTCCACCACCGGAATAGGTTGCTGAATTCCTTGTGCTTGAGGTTGCCTCGTTTTCTCCGGTTCCTCCTGCAATTTGGTGATCTTCTGGCGATCGATTGCGGCTTGTGTATCGACCGTGGATCGGAAGTGAATTAAACGTTCCTCCACCTTATCAACGGTGGCTATTACTTTCTCCTCGGTTTTCTTCCTTTCCTCCGCGATTTTTTGTCTCTCCTCCTCCATGGCAGCCCTTACGGCTGCTGTTACTGCTCGCGACAGGTTGTCGTCCGGGGTTTGTAGTTTCTCCACGATGGTAGCCATCTGGGCTTTCAGGTCTGCCAGCGTTCCCTCCAGGGCGTCCACCCTCTGCGAGGTGCTGTTTTCCATCTCTCTCTCTTTTTTTTTTTTTTTTTTTCTTTTTTTTTTTTAAAAGGGGGGTGGTGGATTCCGGTGACCACGGCCGCAGAACCACCGCTCTGATACCAAGTTTGTAATAGACTAACTTACTGCAATTATAATTTAAGACAATTTGCAAGAACCAAGGCTTAAACTTGAGTATTTGATTCACTGATGATTGAATTACAAGGGATAGGCATAACTTGAGGTTATGAATCTCACAGTAGCTTTAGGCCACAAGTCTCTCATGTGTTTTCACTAATTTCTGGATGGTCTCTACTGCCCCCTAACTACAATACATATACTCAAGACTTAACTAGAACATGTGACATTAATTAACTAAAATAGAAACCCACAAAGGTTATGATTAAAGGAGGCTGCCTTCTTTCCTCAACTTCCCCTTAATTGGCCTTGTCCTGTTGTTCATTGTTCCTTCTCACAATTGACCCTTGCTGCTGCCCCTGTTTTGCGCGCCTGGAGTACACCAAAAGTGGTGGTTGAATTGGTCCGATAGCTCTGTTGACCTTATTGACCCGTTCCATAACACTATGCTCTGTAGAATTTTAATATAGTTTTCAAGCACTTAACCTAATTTATTCCAGGTGACAAAGCTGGGATTAAAGACAAAGATGATTCAAAGGCAAGGTTAGTTTATTATTTTCACTTAGCAAATAACAATATATTTGCAGTATTGTAGCCCCATGACTTTTGGATAGGTGATTGTAACTTTGAGCACCTAGTGCAATTACGCCTTAAAATATATATGTACTTTGTTTATTCTCTGTCTACTTTACTCCATTTATCTAGCTTTAGCCATCAATTCTCAGTAGCTTTAGCTATTTTAACTAGTTGAAGACTTCAAGCTTGCTCTGTGAGCCTGTGCCAACATAGTGTTTTATTTATAAAGTGAAGTATAATTGCTCTCTTATTTTATTTATTTATTATACTGTTTTTTTGCAACAGTCTAGAGTGCTCAATAAAGAAAATCCACTTCATCTTATCTCACATTCCTCCTTTGGGCAACGTGGCCGAGAATGATGCTATTGAGATGTGGAGTAAAGGTGAACACCCCATCTTGTTTGCTTTGATGTGTTGGCTTCTGTTCCCCATCAAGTTTCTTGTTATTTTTCCCCTTGTGGATTTCCTATCTCCAATTCTCTTTGCCATTAATCATATTCTGTTGTTTTCATACAACCGGGAAACCAGATGGAGAGTTCTGGGGGAGGAGGATATATCTGTGCTTTTGCTATTCAAACACTACCCGGGCCTGGTTAACTAGTTATCTTTGTTTTGTTGACTCTCTTTCTTTGTCAGGGGTAACTTGGGCAAGTCTCCTGGTTGTTTCATTTTGCTATCTGATCTACTTGTTGGAAGGCTTTAAGTGCAATGTTACTAGTAACCTAAATTTGTTTCATTTTATTTCTAAAATTAGAGTGAGTTAAAATTGCCTAACTATATGGATACTATGTGAACCTCCTGTAAGCCTTACTTGCAATTTCTATGATTCTATCTACCATTAGTAGCCTGTGATAGTCTTGCAGTTTCTGTTGGTGACCTTTTTTTTTTTTTTTTTTTGGGTTTCAACTGATTAGGTTTCTTATCTAAAGAAGGGGATCAGCAGGAGGATGCTAAGCATACAGAAGGGAAAAATAAACAGAAAAAAAGAGAGAAAATCACTAAAAATGTCAGTGCTTTTTCTTTGACCTGAAATTATGCCTCCCTGTTCGTAATGCAGCAAAGTAACTTGCCTTTGATGTGTCGTCTGCTTCTTGCTATGTTTTTTCCTTCTTGTTATTGTTCTGAGTGTTTTGTTTTCATGCTAGCCAAATATGTGGACTTGTCTTTCCGGTGAGCAATTATTGGGCAATTGTAATCTATTACAGGGTAATGTGGGAAAAATAAACAGTGTACAAGTCCATATACGGAATTGGAGGGTAAGAACCTGAATTTACACTATGTAGGGTGGACAGCTTTGCAAGGGCTGTTAATTATCGACCTTCTCAAGATAATTGTGTCTTATCCAAAGTTTTTCTCCTCTTGGATTTCTAATATGGGAAAAGTGGCTAGTATTGAATAACCCACTATAGTGTTCAATTAATAGTGTTGAACTTGAAGTAGTGCCTACCATGTAACAAATGTCATGGCAACTAATCACTCACTATCTTAGTCTGGGTAAATATTATATGAAATCAACTGCCTTTTCCTAATATGTCTGATAATATGTGCACCATTTGATAAGTAACTCCACCGCTTTCTTTTTCTCTTGTTCTGTTTTCTTCAATTTGATAGCATGACGTGTTGATATGATGATTCTCCGATAATCTTATCATGCTATCATGGTAGCCTCACCCTCTTTTCCAAGTTCCAGTCTTTCATTCTGTCACATGTTGGGTTTTCCTTTCATGCTAGTCTTTTCACACCATCTGTCCAATAATTTATTTTGCACCCAATTGCTGAATACCTCCTGCATTTTGAAATCTTTAATTGTTATTTTACCATAATTAGGGGTGAAGGCTTAGAACCCAAAGTCTGTACACTATATGCATGTTGCATGCTATTTCTGTGCACAAATAATCATGTGCTAGTTGTATGTAAAATTCGTTTACAATTTGTTCTTTTATTCTGCTGCATACTTTTTCTATGCACAGATCTTGTGTTTCTTGTTTGTTATTGAATTTTGGAATCCTTAATAATATGTTTTGACTTTGTATTTCCATCATACAATTTGATGTCCAGGATGTTCCTTTGGGCAGTGTCTCTAAAAAGATGAAACTAAAGTTTACAAAGGCATGGATGTCGTTTCTTAGGTTACCACTTCCTCTTGATGTCTACAAGGAGGTTAGTCCATCTGCTTTGTTAGCCATTTATTTTGTAGCGCTGATAAGTTTTTCTTTAGCTATATGACTGTATGGTAAAGAAAGTTGCTCAAAGCTGACTTTCTCTGAAAGTCATTTAGGTGATTTGACTGATTTGAGCCTGAAATTCTTAGATTTATGTTGAGCTGTTACGGTAGGATTGATAAAAATATATTGGGTGGGTTTCCTTTTCATTTCCACAATCAATACTTAAAAGGCTGAGGAGATGGCTACTAGCTGAATAAATCAACACTTCAGGCTGTTTCGACTGTGCCCAGGCTGCTTTGAGTCAGGACTGGTTCAGTCCCAGTGTATTGTAAATGTGTGATGGGCCCTTTTGCTTGCTTGGTTGAACGCCTTAATCTCATAAGTGAGGTCGGCTACATGAACCAACACGAGGACTTCCCAGGAGGTCACCCATCCTAGTACTACTCTCAATCATTGTGGCTCATGTCAAGTGATGTGACAAAGTTTTACACTGGCTGTCATTGGCCTATCGTAACCTTCCCAGGATGTGATGGGCCCTTTTATGTTCATTTATTTCAGTTTGTCAGCCAGTCTGATTCAAACTGCCCACTGACTCCTGTTGAACTGAATTGGTGTTATCCTAATTTGAACTTTGTATCTTAACCTGATATAATTTTATAGGGAACCCAAGTTTTCTTGATATTAGCAATAATTCTCAACTTTCCATGATATTCAGGTGCTTGTTAATCTGCATCTGGAAGTCATTCCTTATTTGTCCAATCCTGTCATGTTATGGTGAGTACATATGCATCTCTCCTTTCTTTGCCCATATACTCAATATTTAGTACTTACAAACTTAGTTTTATGCATGGGATTTTGCAGTGACTTTTTGACAAGGTCCTATGACATCGGTGGAGTTGTCAGTGTCATGGCTCTAAGTGGTCTTTTCATTCTTATGACTAAGTATGGCTTGGAGTATCCAAACTTTTATGAGAAGCTTTATGCTCTTCTGATACCTTCTATATTTATGGCAAAACACCGTGCGAAATTCTTTGAGGTGAGATTAGGAACTCTGTGGAGCTTAATTTTGTAGCTATCACTAGGATACAAAATTTCCTTTCGCTTATGTGTTATGATTTTTTATTTGTAGCTGCTCGATTCCTGTTTGAAATCGCCACTTCTTCCTGCATATCTGGCAGCTGCTTTCACAAAGAAGTTAAGCAGGCTCTCTCTTGCAGTCCCTCCTTCTGGGGCACTGGTTATTATTGCTCTGATCCACAATCTTCTCCGGAGACATCCATCAATCAACTGTTTGGTTCATCGGGTAAAGTATCTTTTCCACATTTAAAGGTGTAACTTGGATATATATGCTTAGGTTATGTACAGCCAGTTTAGCATTAGCAACATTTAAATATCTCTGCTGACTTATATGTTTTTCTTATTACCTCTGCTTAACTTGTTCCTTTCTAAGATCAGTTATTTCTTGAGGATATTATCCAACTTTTGGTACCTGTTTTAGAGGTTATGCCTGCCTAGAATAGGGAAACTATTTAGAAGGCCACCTGTTATAAAAATTGTTAATACTCCGTAGGACGCAAGTAACTTAAATATGCTCTCTTGTTGTTTTCCCTTCTTATTTGTTTGTGTGCAATTTTTGTTATTTTTTGCTCTTGTAGTCTTTTTTGATCCATCAGGATTCAGGAATACTTGTATAGTTGTATGTGATTGACTTTAACAATATTTCTTGCATAATGTATTTTTGTTTAATTAAAAAGTGTGTGTTAGTTTTTGCTTCTGCATTATACTTCGAGTACTTGTTTGGTTGTTCTTATACACGGATTTCTTGTTTTAAAATATAATTGTGGAAAATGATTAACTGGCTCTTGATGTACAATTCTATCGGTTTTATCATGAAGTTGTTCTTTCCATTAAATGAGCTCTCCTTGTTCCTAAGCATTTTGAAACTTCCTAAATCTCCACTGTTATTATTGTTATAGGAAATTGGTGAAGAAACAAATAAGGATGACACAAAAACTAAGCAAGAGTCTGTTAGTTCTGATGGAAATGCTGGTGTAGGCTCTGATGTGGCCAGTGAAAAAGGTGTTGATCTGTTCAATAATGAAGAACGTGATCCTCTAAGGTCAAAGGCCATGAGTAAGCATTTTCAATCCATGTATTGTGCTTGAGATGCTCTCTCTGTGATTTTGATTTGTGTTCCGTATTTCTTGAGTGTTACTCCATATAATACTTGGTGGTGGTTATCTATGCAGTATGCGTATAATTATGCATGGAATAATAAAAAGTACTTGTAACAGGGAGCTCTCTATGGGAGATTGATACACTGCGCCACCATTATTGTCCGCCTGTATCAAGGTATATGCTGGCTAATGACCTTAAGTACATTTTAATAGTTGCTTTTCCATATTATCTTGATGTTTTTATTATCACCTTTTTGACTTTCTGCTTTCTTTGTAGATTTGTTTTGTCACTTGAGAATGATTTGACAGTGAGAGCTAAAACTGCAGAAGTAATGATTGATGACTTTAGTTCTGGTTCATATGCTACTATATTCAGGGAGGAGGTAATATGCTGATACAATAAGATCAATTTGATGTAGTTAAATTAAGGCCCTGTGCGCTTCTCAATTTATCATTTACAGGAGGGGAAAAAAAAAATTGAAATTCTGCCTATTCAAGACTAGTGCTTTTTAAAGAAGAGGGTTGAGTTTAATACATGTTTTTTTTTCCAATTATTCGCTTTCAAATTTGTGTAGATTTACATAGCTGCATCAGGGCTAATCAGAATTTTATATTTTCTCACAAGTCGTACACCACATTCTAATATTGTAAACTTTGTAAAAGAATTATTCCCCAACTAAAGATAGAAGAGATACGTTAGTCTTGTTAGCGATTGTTTGATGATTGAATATCCTCACAATTTCATGTTTCCCTGACATTTTTCGAAATGGTGATATCATTGACTGCAGATGCGAAGAAGGGTAAAGAAAGTTCCTCTTGCTGATTATGCAAAAGCAACACCTACCTCTTTGTTTTCAGAGTCTGAGTTCCCCGGCTGGTCTTTTAAATATGATGGAACCAATGAGGAGGTGAAGACTTTTTAGAATCTAGTACTGTTGTAAAAATATAATTTTAATTTCTATATTATATGGAGACCACATATATTCAAATTTGATGTAACCATATAATAAATTCCAATGTAGACAAATCCCATGTATTCTTCACCCGGATAAATGGTAAAATGTTTTGTATGACTACCAGTTGGTGCTGGAAAGTGGAAATCTGTTTTTGTAGGGCTTTAGGATTACTGGATGATTGGAAGCCTTAAGTTTAGTTTGTGCAATGTGCAATACACCAATAGGTCCAGTACCATCACCTTTCTGTTGGAGCAATATCTTGGCAACTTATATCCATATTAGTTTATGACTGTTGATTATGTGTCTGTCTTACGGTAAGCGATGGCGCCTTTGCTATCGGATGTTGCAGGGGTAGTGGAAATGCTTCTTACAATATAAGATGAACCCAATCCAACAATTCTTGTGGCAAAGCTTTGTCTTGGATTGGTTTTGATTTCGGAATTCAGATTATCAGAAGCTGGAACTTTCCTGACTGCATATTGACGTAAACATGAGATGTCCCAAATATTGATTTTAATGTTCCAATTGATATAGAAATCCTGATTATATTCGATGTCCTTTTATTTTATTATTAAGGAGGAAGCCAAATACAAGTAACAAGTAAGGTTATTTAATCCTATTGACTTCTTGAACCAAATAACACTAAAAACTAAACTAAATAAATACAAGTCAGACTGTGCCTCTTGCAAATTGAACACTTAAACTAAGCTAAATTTGGGAGTTTGGACTTTAGCATTCAACGATACATATGAATTTCGATTTAAAAACATTATCAATCGGGTTTTCAGAGTAAATGCTTCTTATTTTTCGCGCTTCCAGGCTGTCTTATGAGCAAGAAGAGATCATATCACAACCGCGGACGAAACTGAGCGTCGGTGAAGAAAAAGTTGGAAGATTGTTGAATGGTGGAGACAGAAAAAAGAACATCCACACGTATGACTCACACGAATTCACACTGTCCATAAGATCTTTTTCAAACTTATTAAAGGGAAATAGTAGCACTGGTGTAAGGAAAGTCACCACTGAGCACATTATCCAGGAACAACTAGCTTACTCCTTAAAGTTGATCCTAATTTTGACATCAGTTGTTAGCCCAATGGCCGAGCTTGGAATCTCCATTACTCAAAAGCTTATTGAAGTTATTAGCTCTGAAGTCATCAAAGAGATATGTGATATGTGGGGCTACGAATCTGAACTCGCAGACCTCAACAAAACTGTCTTCACCATCAAAAATGTGCTCCTTGATGCTGACTCCAAGCGCGAGCTCTCCATCGAAGCACGAGGCTACATTGATGAGCTCAAGGCTGCTGTTTATGATGCTGATGATCTGTTCGATGAGTTCTTCACCCTTGCTGAGCTCAAGCAGCTTAGATCACTAACCAAGGGTGGCAAGTTCTTTGCAAAGGTACGTTGCTTCTTTTCTTACAAGGATCAAGTGAGTCGAGCTTATAGAATGTCTCATCAGGTTAAGGACATTAAGAAGCAGTTAGATAAAATTGTCACTAACCATCATAAATTTGGGTTTAGTGTTGATTATAGACCTATCAGTAGAAGGAGGGAAGACACTTGCTCTTACTTAGATGCAAAGAGTATTATTGGGAGGGAGGATGATAAGAAGGTCGTTATAGGTATGTTGCTTGATCCTAATAATGATGATAAAGAAGATTTTCGGTTTCTAACCATCGTGGGAGTAGGAGGGTTGGGGAAGACGACTCTTGCTCAACTTGTGTATAATGATAAAGAGGTTGAAAAAGAGTTTCCGGATCCCAAGTTAAGGTTGTGGGTTTGTGTCTCCGATCAAGATGGGGAGCAATTTGATGTCAAAGTCATTTGCTGTAAGATTTTAGAATTAGTTTCCGGTATGAGGCTTGATGGTGCCTTTACAATGGAATGGGTGCAAAAGCAATTTCAAGAGCAGTTACGGGGAAAGAAGTACTTGCTTGTTCTTGATGATGTATGGAATGAGGATCGAAAGAAGTGGCTTAGTTTAAAAGATTTCTTAATGATAGGTCAAGGGGGGAGTAGGATTGTAGTAACTACACGTTCAGAGATGACGGCAAAAGTTATTGGGGATAAGTATGCTTATAAGTTACAAGGTTTGTCCCAAGAAAATTCTTGGCGCTTGTTTGAGATGACAGCATTTGACAAAGAGCACGAAGAAATAAACCAACTCGAATCAACTAAGCTTGGGGAGAAGATTGTGGGAAAATGTTATAACATTCCTCTTGCTATAAAGGTGGTAGGGAGTCTTTTATTTGGTCAGGATATAAGTAAGTGGTGGTCCTTTGAAGAGAAAGGTTTAGCTGAAATAAGGAAAGGTGATAATGAGGTTATTTCTATATTAAAGCTTAGTTACCATAATCTTGATTCTTCTTTGAAGAGTTGCTTTAGCTATTGTGCAGTATTTCCCAAGGATTATGAAATAGAGAGGGAGATGTTGATAAGCCTTTGGATAGCCCAAGGATATATTGTGCCATTCGATAAAGATCAAAGCATAGAAGATGCTGCTGAGGAACATTTTTTTATTTTGTTAAGGAGATGTTTCTTTCAAGATGTAGAGAGGGATGCATATGGTGCTGTGAAGTCGGTTAAAATCCATGACTTGATGCACGACGTTGCTCAAGACGTGGGGCTGCAAGAAATTTGTGTATTGGATTCTGTTACAAAAAATTTGGGAGATAAAATTCGTCATGTGCGTTATGTTCGATTTTTTGTAGCCATCAGAAAGAGCCTCTAGTGAGTACACAATTAGACGACTTGATGTGCCTAAGGTCATTAGACATGAAGTATTCACTCTTTGGGAATTTGCCTGATTCAGTAGGTAAGCTACTGCATCTAAGGTTTCTTAACTTGTCTCAGAATCAAATACTAGTCTCACTTTCTGATTCTATTACTGAGCTTCATAATCTGCAAACATTAGTTTTAAGTAATTGCTATAATTTGAGGGAATTGCCAAAAGATTTTAGCAAATTGGTAAAACTTAGATACTTGGATTTGAGAAACTGTGGCAAATTGACTAGAATGCCTTCAGGAATGGATAAATTGACTAGTCTCAGAGTTCTGCCATTCTTTGTGATGGGTAAGTGTACTGAGAAACAATGTGATGAGGAGCTGAAAAACCTTAAAGCCCTCACGAACATAAAAGGCAATGTTTATGTTGAAATCGGAAGAAATTACAGAAGAGTGGAAGGCATGAAGATAGAAAATTCAGACATGAAATTTAAATGCACAAAACATCTAATAGAGTTGAAAATCAGATTTGATAGCAGATGTGTTGATTATGACGGTGTGCTAGAAATCTTGGAGCCACCTTCAAATCTCAAAGGCTTCATCTTGGATAATTATCAAGGTAAAAATATTCCAAGGTGGGGAGGAGCAGAATGTAACTGGACAATCTCCTTTCCTCATCTAGTCAACATCGAACTCATAAGCTGTACGAACTTGAAGGTGTTGCCGTCTCTGAGTACATTACCTTATCTGAAATCACTGCTACTTCGCGGATTGACTGAGTTGGAGTATATAGAAAATAGAAACAATAACAACACTAGTAGTGCAGGAGAAATTTTGACAGCATTTTTCCCTTCCCTTGAATCACTGAAGATTATTATTTTGCCCAAGTTGAAGGGATGGTGGAGGGAGGACAACGATGTTAATCTACCAACATTTCCTCGTCTTGCTGAATTGGAAATCCAACTGTGCAAAAGTCTGATGTCAATTCCTCCTTGTCCAAGCCTACAAGTTCTGACATTGTGCGCCAACAATAAAACTCTGCCTTCAAATGTCAGAATTTCACTGCATGATGCTAGAAGATTAAGGAGTTTGGCCATTGATGATGTAGACTATCTCAACTCGATCTTCTGCAATGATCAGTTGAGCATCTCTGAAGACATTCCTTGGAAATCCCTTAATCAGAGCCTCATTTCCCTGAAATTTTTGTTCTTGAGAGATCGCGCTATGCCAGTATCTGCAAATGGCGTTCAGTACTTGACCTCCCTCCAAACACTCAAGTTTTCTCTTTGTAATTATATGAAAGCACTTCCAGATTGGATAAGCAACTTATCATCTCTTCAATCCATGTCCATCAAGAATTGCAATGCCCTCGAATCACTTCCTGAGTCAATGAAGAAGCTCACCTCCCTTCAGAGACTTCGGATTAAATATTGTTCAGACCTTGAAGAAAGATGCAAAGAACCTAACGGAGAAGACTGCCCCAAAATTCAACACATCCCACATGTTCATATCGGGTGAATAAATACAAAAATGTACATTCCATTCATTACCTTTGATTTTGTATTTGCAGCAACTAGTAATGTTAAATATTTATTACAACATTCTGTAAGCATGTAATTGTCACTGTAGCTGTTAAATCTGAAATGGTGTTAGCTGTGCTTGTATTATATATAAATATATATATATATATATAGATATGTTTGAGCATAGGCTGCATAGCTAAGTGATTTCTTGGTATACTTTTGTAAAACCTCGGTTAAGCACATGATGCAAGGTTCATATGGGCTCACTTGGTAAGTTTCTTAACTCAGACTTAGAGGTCTAGGGTTCGAATCCTACTAAATGAGGGTGTTTGGGGTAGAGATTCCCTTACCCTCCCCTTTATTTCCAAGTGCCTGACCGGCAGGTACTTTAATGTTTATAATCTATTAAAAAATCATGGATATGGCTTCCAAAACATGTAAGTTTCTTCATTACAAATTTTATTAATAAAAAAATGTTTCATTAATTTGAGGTCGTTTTTAAAAGATTGTCTAGTATATGTTCATTGTAAATAAAATGTTCTTCATAATTCCAAGTATGTTGTTATATTAAAGAATTAAATATAAAGATGTCCTAGTTGAATTTTTCTTCCTGAGATGAACAAATAAAAATTTAAAATTTGAAACAAATTTTTAATTATAAAATTCCAAAAGGATAATGCTGCTGGGTTTGCTCCTTGGTTCATGCTGTTGGATCATTTGGATGATACTATGATAGTAAGTCTCTTTCTAGGTCTTTTAATACTTTCTTGAATTCTCATGCCAGCCGAGAAGGAAATACTTTGGCTCATTGTGTGGATATTAGAGGTTGTAATGAATGTGTTTGCTTTGGTCCTTTGACGGAAATTAACTTTTATTAATGATATTTTCTTCTGTTTGCTTAAAAAAAAATAGACAGGGACTTGGGAAGGAATAAAGGATGAGTGAAAAGCATGAGAGTGCGATTGAAGCTCTAGTGCAAGGGAAAGAACATTTGTACTTAAAATATGAACTACTCCCTTCGTTTCTAAATAATTGACACATTCAAACTTGACATACATTTCAATCCCAAGTTTGTCCTTAGATTTATACGATTAAATAGTAAAAATATATTGAAAAGCTAATATTGTAAAATTTTATATTAATATCTATTTAATAATATTTTTATGATAAAATTTGTTTTTTTATATGTTACTAAATAATGATTGTCATAGGCTTTTTTATTTTTTTTATTTTTTGTTTACAAGAATGATCGTCATAGATAGTATATGAATAATGAAAAAAAAAAGTCAAACTTGTCAATTATGGAGTTTCTAAATAAGCAAAATGAACTTACAATGTTTCAAAGTAAATCGCGTCAAAAGTCAAGATTGCTTTGATCATAATATTTTTACTAATGCGTACAAAAAAAAAAATACTTTGTCTATTATCTAGAAATATATCACCTCTTTGTTATTATACTCAGTAATAAATTAATTATTCTACTCTCAATATTTTTTTATTTTTTTTGTTGCATAAAAAAAAATGTCAATCTGGCAGATACAAGAATTTTCTAACCAAGCTGTCGACATACTTGTAAAATTACCTTATTACCCTATAAAATGGAAGAATGTTCTTTTTGGGTCCATTCAACACACCACACAAGGCCCACCTCTCCATTAGTTGGGCTAGAAGCCTACAAGAAGTCTAGAAAGACCTGATATGAGTGCTAGACTGCTAGTACATACTCCACCAAGGACCACAACTAATTATTTCATTCACTTGAGAGTTGAGAGGCTTTTCTAAAGGTGTGTGATTGTGCGAAGAGAAGCTTTTACCTTTTGCTCTTTGGGGGTCAGATTTATAGACCCCTATTTATAATCTCGTTAAAAATTAAAGGTGTTCATCATCGTCTTTACGTAATTTTCACTTATATAAATTATCAGCTTCACAATTAACTTCTTTACAATTAATAAAGAACACATTGAATGATAACTCGATAAGTAAGTAATCCAAAGTTTGGTTTGGTATATCTAATGCATATAAATTTCTTAAGTTAAATCCTTAAAACATATAGGATATGTAACGTTTAAGGCTATGTAAGAATATTGCACTCCTTGACTTACGTTTTTTCCATTCTACTTCATACTTTATATAAATTTAACAAAAATTATCCGAGCTAATTTCATTGTAATGAAATAAAGTAAAGAGAACACAACCTAATCGAATACTAAATTAAAGTATTTGACTACTTGCCTACATGGGGTATAGTTAGAGTGATTTTATAGTGATACAGATATACACTTTCACTAACGCTCCACTGTCCCCACCCTTCATTTTCATTTCCCACGTTCATAGTATGAACATTGAACAACAACAACATTACTACACATAAGACATAACACATTACTTGAGACTTGAGAGTGATACATGTTGTTCTTATGCTATTTGTGCTGTTGCAATTATTTTGCTTCATTTTTTTTGTGTTTTTCTCTCTCCTTAATCATTCCCAGATTTCACCCTTATCTTTAATCTTGTACCTATTTTAGCCTTCAATTACACTCGTATTTCTAATTTAAGAAGAAAAGTCAACCCCACTTGGGTGGAATTTTCTTTTTTTTTTGTTCTGGAAAATATAATGCATACTTCTGAATTTAATAGCAGATTCTTACTTCACCTGTGAAGCTTCCAGCTTTTCTTTTCTCTCGTGAGTACTTATCTCTTCTTACTTAATTATTCCTTTTCAATTTCAATTTATTATTACTATATTTGTAATTTGCCTGATATTTTTTTTTTAAAGCTTATGTGGTTGTTGTGTACCTATTTTCCCAACTGCTGCTTCCTCAATTAGAAAAAAAATTAGAAATGGGCAGTTCTTTGTCAAAAAAAAAAAAAAAAAAATTGATGGGGGCAATTTTTCACTTTTATATTATGTGGTATTTTTAAACTTTAAATAATTATGTGGGCGGTTGCTTCATTTTGCGCCTTCTAATTAATGATTTGCAAATTATGATAATTAAAAAAAATTGTTTAAAAATTAGATTTTGCAAAAAAAGTGGGTAAATAGCTTTATTTTGCACATTATAATGTAGGAATAAACTTCCACTTATTAATTAAGTGGGTAGTTAGCTTCATTTTGCGCCTTTATGTCTGGTGATATTGCTACCTTTTTCAATGAATGGAGCTTAAATTCAACATCAGTTTTCCTGCAATCTTCACGTCCTTGAATTTCTGTGTAAAGTAAGCTTCCATGTCATTTATAAACCAATTATTTTGTTGTATACTGTATATAGCCTGAAAAGTTCATTTCTTGCTTATTTTTTTGGTTTGGTATACTACTCCATTTGTTCTTTATTGTTTGCACCATTTGCCTTTTCAAGTCAACTGCCTATACAAGCAAATGATATTATAATGCGTTAGTAAAAACAATGAATATACGTAATATTCTTATTGTTTTAAAATTATCAAATCGATCTATGACATGTGAAGTAATCTCCTTATTGTATTTTTTTACTGTCAAAGAAATCTGTTACATGTGAACTAATCTTCTTCTATTAAGAAGCATCTAACAAAAATGTGCTGTAAATGCTAAAATGATAGAGAGTAATGTATCTTGCCCGGGTCTTTCGGAGATATGCGTTGTAATCTCACATCTGCCCATCATCTACCCAGACTGTCTTAACTATTACCAATCGAATTGGTGCAGGACGTTAGTCATTATATATAGTCTGGAGGATAGTAATTTAGTCACCACATTACTACTAACTTTCTCCTAACATTCCTTGTTCTCACATTAATTCTTTCACCTGCTTGTTTCACTGAAATTTGAAAACCCCAATGGCTGAGCTCGGAATCTCCATTGCTCAAAAGCTCATTGAAGTTACCGGGTCTGCGGTCTTCAAAGAGATTTGTGGCATTTGGGGCTACAAATCTCAACTTGAAGAGCTCAACAAAACTATCTCCACTGTCAAGAATGTGCTCCTTTGTGCAGATTCTAAGCAAGAGCTTTTGGACCATGAACGGGACTATATTGAAGACCTCAAGGCTGCTGTTTATGATGCTGATGATCTATTTGACGAGTTCCTCACTCTAGCTGAGCTCAAGCAGCTTAGACCACTAAGCAAGAGTGGTAAGCTTTTTGCAAAGGTATGTAGCTTCTTTTCTTCTAAGAACCAAGTAGGTCAAGCTTATAGGATGTCTCGCCAGGTTAAGGACATTAAGAAACAGTTAGAGGTTATTGTCACCAACCATCAAAAATTTGGGTTTAGTATTGACTATAAACCTATAGTTAGGAGAAGGGAGGAAACTTGTTCCTACTTAGATGCTAAGGCTATTAATCATATTATTGGGAGGGAGGACGATAAAAAGGCTATCATAGATATGTTGCTAAGTCCGAATAATAATGATCATGAAGATGATTGTTTCGTGACTGTTGTTGGAGTAGGAGGGCTGGGGAAAACAACTCTTGCCCAACTAGTGTTTAATGATATAGAGGTTGTTAAAGAGTTTCCAGATCCAAAGTTAAGGTTGTGGGTTTGTGTTGCTGATCAAGACGGAGAGATGTTTGATGTCAAACTAATACTTTGCAAGATTCTAGAGTTAGTTTCCAATATCAAGCCTAGTAGCACCTCCACACTGGAATCATTGCAAAGGCAATTTAAACAACAATTAATGGGAAAGAAGTTCCTACTTGTTCTTGATGATGTGTGGACCGAAGATCAGATAAAGTGGCATAAACTGAGAAATTTCTTGATGTTTGGTCAAGGGGGGAGTAGGATTGTAGTAACCACACGTTCACATATGACAGCCGATATTATTGGGGGTAAGAATATTTATAAGTTAGAAGGTTTGTCTCGAGAGAATTCGTGGCGTTTGTTTGAGATTACAGCCTTTGGAAAAGGACCTAAACACATAAACCATCTTGAATTAGCTGAGATTGGAGAGAAGATTGTTGAAAGATGTTATGACATTCCTCTTGCTATAAAGGTTGTAGGGAGTCTTCTATATGGTCAGGGCATAAGTAAGTGGAGGTCGTTGAAAGAGAGGAGTTTGACAGGAATTGATAATGGTGATAATGAAATAATGTCTATTTTAAAGCTTAGTTACCACAATCTAGGATTCTCGTTGAAGAGTTGCTTTAGATATTGTGCATTATTTCCCAAGGATACTAAGATAGAGAAGGAGATGTTGATTAGCCTTTGGATAGCCCAAGACTACATTGTGCCATTTGATAGAGGTCAAAGCATAGAAGATGCTGCGGAGGAACATTTTTTGATTTTGTTACGGAGATGTTTTTTCCAAGATGTAGTGAGGGATAAATATGGTGATGTTGTGTCGATAAAAATCCATGACTTGATGCATGATGTTGCTCAGGAAGTGGGGCTGGAGGAAATCTCTGTAGTGAGTTCTACTACAAATAATTTGGGTGATAGAACTCGCCATTTACAATATGTTAGTGATACTGATACATGTTCAGAAAGCTTTTTCTTCAAGGGTAATATTCGTTCGTTTATTTGTAGCCAAGGAATAAAGGAACTGCCGAAGGATACACAAATAGACAATTGGATGTGCCTAAGGGTATTGGACTTGAAATATTCAAGTTTTGAAAGTTTGCCTGATTCGATAGATAAGCTACTGCGTGTAAGGTATCTTAATTTATCTTTGAATCTTAATCTTAAGACACTCCCTGATTCTATTACTGAACTTCATAATCTGCAGACATTAATATTACGTTGTTGCTTTGAAATAAGAGAGTTGCCTAGAAACTTTAGCAAACTAATTAAACTTAGGCACTTAGATTTAGGTGGATGTTTTAAGTTGACTAGTATGCCTTCAGGCATGGAAAAGTTAACTAGTCTGAGAGTGCTACCATTCTTTGTGGTCGGTAAGGGTATTGAGAAACAATGTGTTGGAGAGCTAGAAGATCTAAGATCCCTCACCAACATCAGAGGCAGAATTAACATTGAAATTGGTGAAAATTATAGAAATGTCAAAGACACGATTGATTGTTTGAAGAGTACACAACATCTCACAGAAGTTATTATTGAATTTGATGATAACTGTGTTGATCATCAAGTTCATATGGAGAAGTTGTTACCACATTCAAATCTCAAGGGGTTCATGTTGAGAAAATACATGGGTACGACGATTCCAAGGTGGGGTAGAGCAGAAGATAGTTGGGCCGTCATCCTCCCACATCTTGTCACCATTGAGCTTCAATTTTGTAGCAACTTGGAGCAGATACCTTTGTTGAGTAAACTGCCTTATCTGAAATCACTGGTTCTTATCAATTTGAGCAAGCTGGAGTATATGGAGAGTACAAACAGCAACACTATCAGGGATGAAGAAGAATTAACGACATTCTTCCCCTCGCTTGAATCTCTTGAGATAACCAGTCTCAGAAGTTTGAAAGGATGGTGGTGTGGGGCGCAGTTGATTGCGAATGGTGATCATCATATCTTGAAGAGGAGATTGAAATTTTCACGTCTCTCAAAATTGAAAATCAATGGTTGCCATAGTTTGATGTCATTTCCTCCTTGTCCAAGCCTAGAAGATTTGGAGTTATGTTTCAGCAATGAATCATTGCTTTTTAAAGTTAACAGAAGGGATGAAGACAATGAAGCTGTTGGAATTTTATGGGATGATGTGAGAACATTAAAGAGGTTGGTAATCGATAAGCTGGGTTATCTCAAATCTATCATTGGCATGGTTGAAGACGACATACCTTGGAAATCTCTTAACCAGAGCCTCCGTTCCCTGAAAATTATGTTCCTAAAAGACCGTTTTATGCCAACTTCCACAAATGGCTTGCAGTACTTGACCTCTCTCCAAACACTCCAGCTTTCATACTGCTATACCCTGATAGCTCTCCCAGATTGGATAAGCTGCTTATCGTCTCTTCAGTCTCTGTCCATCACAGATTGTCCTTCTCTCAAATCACTTCCTGAATCAATGCGGAGGCTCAGCTCCCTTCAGAGTCTTGAGATCACTCGTTGTCCGTGCCTTGAACAAAGATGTGCAGGACCTAATGGGGAGGATCAGCCCAAGATTAAACACATCCCACACGTGAAAATCGGGTGAGTGTTTAAAGAAAATTGCACTCGTTTATCCCATTTTGATCCTAGTTTATGCTTTTTTCGAACACTTCCACACTTCTTATTAACTAATTTAATTCTTTGAAGATGTACCTGGATGCTACATGAGTACATGCACCTTTTTAGTTAACAGACTCAACATTCTTTGGGTGATACAAGAGTAATTAAAAAAAATAAAAATATAGAATGCTTCAAATACTAGCTAGGCAATGTTTCTACATCAGTATGCTCATGCATTTAAAAAAAAAAAAAAATTCTGCCCCTAATCTCAATTGGATTATGCCAAACATTGGAGCTTAACCATTTTCCTTTTAATTGATATACTGTCGTTTTTGTTTCATCGTTTCAACAATTTGTACACTCAGTTTTGTTTTATTATCTCATATTGTGATCCCTCTATCTCTTGGATTTGGATTGACATTTTCTCTTGCATCAGTGAGTCGTGAAGACTGTCTGATTATCTGCGGCAATGGTAATTCCATCAGTTGCGTTAATACACATTTGTTGGGTTCTGGACATTCAAACTCTGCATAAAGCTAGACTTTGAACAGGACACCCGGTTTTGAGGTTAGTGTCCTGTTACTTGTCTTTCTCAATTTTCTAGTACTGGTTTGTTTTCTTTGTGTCCATTTACTAGTATATGTTTATGTTCATGCAGTGAAATTCTTTCTGGAGTGAATTTGTATTCTGGTTTTCTAATATGAGGTGGATGGCATCTGAGTTGGACTTTTGGGGTGATGAATTAAGGTGAATTTGATATGTTATTGCTACTAGTGCAAGAAGCTGTGTTGGTTTTGGATTTTAATGCAGCGCGGTTGACATACTAAAGCTACTACTGGGCTACTGGTACAAGAAAGTAACAAGCTTTTCAAATATTTGATATCAGAGTTTTAAAATGCTGCTGCGCCAAAGCACATGATGCATGGGTTGATTTGGAGACCCTTCCTAGAAGGTGAGCCTTTTCAACCCTCTGATGCTTAAATATGGCCAGGTTCATGCTCTTTTAAGACTTCCCACTAGGTGTGAATTACGTTCAATAGTAATATTGCCAACAAAACCATGGGTCCAACAGCTCGTTACCACGGCCAGTTCCTCCATTCCTTGGAGTAATTAGAAAACTGAAGACTGATCGTTGCTCTATATTAAGAACACATTACACACCCAGAAGCGCGCTGCAACTGGCAAAGTCACATGCCTGTTCGGAGTAGATACCCAGGAGCTCGAATGATTTTTTTTTTTTTTTTTTTTCCTTTGTTATTGTGTGGTATTGTACTAATGAGGAGCATCTGACTTAGCAAAAATTGTGTTATAACAATGTTTGCTTTTCAAATTCAATTGCCCATTACTCATCTTAATGATTATAGGCTGAACTTGTATTTTAAAATTTTGTAATTAATTACTAGTAGGAGATTTAAGTCCTATCTCCTTTGCTGAATGGAGTTAATCATCTGCCTTTAATAGTCATATTCTCTTGGTCTAGTGGAGCAGTGGTGTTGTAACCATTAGGCAGAGATATGGCGCAATAATGAGCAGCAGTTTCCATTTCAGAAAGATGCATTTCAGTGGGCACGATTCAATCTTAGCAAATAGATAGTCTTGCCAAAAAAAAAAATAAGGTTGTCTCAACATTGGATGGCTCACATGAAGTAATGAATAGTTATGATAATTTTGGCATGTGCAACAAAATATTGACACTTTAAATAGGATTATAGGAACGTTTGAGCCTGTATGTTATGATGCATACTTGTCATTTGAGAATCTATCACATGGAGAGCCCTTTAGGCTTCAAGTTGTATTAGATTTTTTTTTTTTTTTTAGGTAAGATGAAGAGTCCTATTAAGTCGGAATCCTTCACTGGTCAACCCGGTTTGGATTAGCGGGCTAGACAATTTGGGAGGGTGGGGGAAGGTAAGGGAATTCCACACTCCAAATTGTCATTAGTGGGGATTGAACCTTCAACCTCATTGTTGGAAGATGCTCTCCTTTCCACTAGACCAAGCTAAGCTTGGTAAAAAAAAATGTTGTACTAGTTAGATGTGTTGAATATCAACAACTCACAAATGTTGTGATTCAGAGAGTGAGGGATAGCTCAAGTGATTAGAGCTTAGTTTCATGTGATCCTGGAATCGATTTTCATCACCCGCTCTTGTGGCTCTCTAAACACCAAAAAAACGAATGTTGTGATTAAGGTGTATATGGTGCCATGTTTGTGCTACAATACTTACTAATCTTGTGGTGAGATGATACAATCATATAGTGTTATTAAAAAAAAAAAAAAAAAAAAAAAAAAAAAAAAAAAAAAAAAAACTATTTGTTTCATGTCTTTTTACATCACACTTCTCAATATACGTAGTATATATACTGTATATACTCCGTAATTATTTTAATTATTTTTTTGTAATTTGCCAAAAGTCAAGACAAATTATTAACCACATTGTCGACATACCAACCAATGAGCCACACACTTGTAATTAAAAAAAGAAAAGAAAAAAAAAAGAAATACCTTAAGATAGGAAGAATGTTCTTATTGGGTCCGTCTAAGGCCCCACACAAGGCCCACCACTCCATTAGTTAGTTGGGCTAGAAGCCTAGAAAGACCTGAGTGGTACGTAGTACATACTCCACAACTATTTGTTTCACATCTTTCAAATTCTTCACTTGTGAAGCTTTTCTAAAGGTGTGATGGTGAGAAGAGAAGAGAAGAGAAGAGAAGAGAGGCTTTTACTCCCTTTTGGGGGTTGGATTTATAAGCCCTTTTTGTATATTGAAAGTTTGAAACCTTACTTTATATGGATTTGCATGAGATGAGGATGAGGATGAGGATGAGGATGAGACATTGGATCGTAAAAGATGAAGGAAGAAGATTTTTATCAATAACTACATTGAATAATCACTTTTGATTCATATAGTCGACCCCTCTTATGGGATTAAGTTTTTGATTGATATATTTAATTAATAATGACGTGCATGATAGATAAAGATAAGGTTTGATATGATATTTAAGTTTTAAGTTTCTTTAATATACCCCTTTAAACATACTCCGTAATTTTTTTAATTTTAACGCTATTTAAGATCCTTGACTTAGTTTTGTCAAAAATATAGGTTTAATTTTATTTCAAATCCTTTTTACCACTCAATTAAGGGCTATCTTCATACAAAATGCTAGAAAAGTTATAAGTTCCTAATTACACCCCATTTTAACAAAGTTTCCAACCACTATAAATATTGAATGTTTTAATTTTACTCATTCTGACCAAAACCACTAATTTAAAAAAAAACTTAAAAAGGATATAATTTTACTCTAACTTATTTTCGAAGAAGAAAACGGAGCCTAATTGAACATCCCCATTATGGGTATTGTTTGGTTGACATAGGAATTAAATTCCTATAGGCATTTGTATTTTATTAGAATAAAATCCCATATCAAATTTCCTAGGAAGTAGCTAAACTTGTTTGGTTGATATGTGGCATTTGCAAATCATGAGAATTTTGAGTTACCAAGAGGGCTTGGTAATTGAATTTCCATGTTTTGTGGGAATTACAAATTTGTACTTCCCACATTTCTATTTTTTATGGTCAACCAAACAAACTTCCTATTTCCAAATTCACAGAATTTTCAATTTCCCTAATTTTTTTGTACAATTAAACAATACTATAGTATATGTCTAGACAGAGGTGTCAATTCGATGTCCGGATCGAATTCGGTGAAATTGAGTCGGGTCGGGTTAACATTTAAAATTGAATCGGGTCGAGTTAATTTTTAAAATTGAGTCATGCTACGTTATTGTGTTCATGCGAGCCGAAATTTAAATCGGATATTTTTCGAATCGTATCAGGTTGAATCGGATGTGGTTTTGACTCCCCTATTCTAGTTTCCCTAGTTGGGGGTTATTTGAAATTTTGGAGTGATACAGATATGCACTTTCACTAAACGCTCCACTGTCCCCACTCCCCACCCTTCATTTTCATTTCCCACGTTCATAGTATGAACAATATTACTACACATTACTTGAGACTCAGACATGTTGTTCTTATGCTATTTGTGCTGTTGCAATTATTTTGCTTCGTTTTTTTTGTTTTTCTCTCTCCTAAATCTTTCTCAGATTTCACCCTTATCTTTAATCCTGTACCTATTTTAACCTTCAATTACACTCGTATTTCTAATTTAAGAAGAAACGTCAACTCAACTTGAGTGGAATTTTCCTTTTTTTTTTTTTTCTTTCTGGAAAATATATAAGGTAATGCTTACTTCTGAATTTAATGGCAGATTCTTACTTCACCTGTGAAGCTTTCAGCTTTTCTTTTCTCTCGTGAGTACTTATCTTTCTCTTTTTACTTAATTATTCCTTTTCAATTTCAATTTATTTTAACTATATTTGTAATTTCCCTGATTTTTTTTTTAATTTGTAGTTTCCCAACTGCTGCTTCCTCAATTAGAAAGGGGCAATTTTTTGTCAAAAAAAAAATTAAAAAATAATGAAGGGGGCAATTTTTCACTTTTATATTATGTGGGTATTTTTAAACTTTAAATAATTATGTGGGCGGTTGCTTCATTTTGCGCCTTCTAATTAATGATTTGCAAATGATAATAATAAAAAATTCTTTAAAATTTAGATTTTGCAAAAAAAAGTGGGTAATTAGCTTTATTTTGCACATTATAATTAAGTAGGTAGTTAGCTTCATTTTGCGCTTATTAATTAAGTGGGTTGTTAGCTTCATTTTGCGCCTTTATGTATGGTGATATTGCTACCTTTTTCAATGGATGGAGCTTATATTCAATATCAGTTTTCCTGCAATCTTCATGTCCTTGAATTTCTGTGTTAAGTAAGCTTCCATGTCATTTATAAACCAATTACTTTGTTGTATACTGTGTATAGCTTGAAAAAGTTCATTTCTTGCTTATTTTTTGGGTTTAGTATACTACTCCCTTCGTCCTTTATTGTTTGCACCATTTGCTTTTACATGATCTCCAAAAAAAAAAAAAAACATATTTGACCGTTAATATCTGAAATTGTGTATTTAAGATGGTATTTTGAAAATATATGTCCAAGCAAATCTAACAACATCCAACAAATATCAATTGAATTTCATGGTCAAACTTGATGTACTTTGACTCAGAAAAGGAAATGGTGCAAACAATTAGGGACGGACAAATGGAGTAGGTTACAATGAGAATTTTAATAAAAGTACAAAGTTCATCTTTGTTCAAGGATTCTGCAGGGTTTCAAATGGGGTTTTCTTGTATCATAGAACAGTTTTGAGCATAAAATCACCTGATATTTGCTTTCTACTTTTTGAGTATGTTGTTTACCCTGTCCATATGTTGTTTTCCAGCTTTTGGTGACCCTAACTGCAGAGTTACCTTAGATTCTAGTTTCTTTGGGTATTTGGTTCTTTTGCCAGAAAAGGAATATTATTTTAGATGCTTTATTAACCATTTTCTAATTTTATATGTTCATTTTGTACACACCCAATTTACTTTTCTTATTTAAATTGGGTTTGTAGTGGCTGAAGGAAGAAGGAAGAAGGAAGCTGATTCCTAAGCATGATGATATTGTTATTGTATAATTGAGGCTTATTGAGGGAACTTGCATTTCTGTGAAGGCCTGTTTCATGTCTAATTTCAAGATGAAAGTGCTTCACATTGTGCCATGGTTGGTAGTTCTTTGCAGTATGTTCTTTAAAGGCTACTGTGGGTCAGAGAAAGTGAATATCGGTGCTATATTTACTCTGGGCACGCTCACTGGTAAGGTTTCAAAGATCGCGATGAACGCTGCTGTGGATGATATAAATTCTGATCCCAAGGTACTTGGTGGTCGTACCCTGTCTCTCCAAATTCATGATTCTAATTACAATGGATTTCTCAGCATCATGGGAGGTAAATTCCTACAAACACTTTTTTGTTGTATTTGGAATTTTTGGATTCCTTATCATAAAAGTATGATAGTCTATATGTGCTTCTTATGTTTCTTGCTTTATGCATTTAGGCTTCTTCCTTTGCTATTCTTTATTTAGCCAAAAATATTTAGAGGAAAATGGATGAAAAATGAGGGAGCACCTTGGCTGGGAGGGAATATAAGCCTCCTTTGGGTCCAAAAATTAGAGAACTTATAAGCATATGTTGCAGATTGGTTTTCCTTTATCCGTCTCCACTTGTCCCTTGACTCCCTTCCCTCCAATTTTGTCAAACGAGCATTAAAATGTATGAGAATTTTAACATCTGTTAATTAGTATATATTCATTGATCGCAGCATTGCAGTTCATGGAGACGGATACCGTTGCTATAATTGGCCCTCAGACATCCATTATGGCACATGTGCTTTCTCATCTAGCAAATGAACTGCACATCCCACTATTGTCGTTCTCTGCGCTTGATCCTACATTATCACCTATCCAATATCCCTACTTTTTCCAAACGGCCCCCAGTGATCTGTTTCAGATGTCTGCCATTGCTGAAGTAGTAAACTACTTTCGTTGGACCCAGGTAACAGCTATCTTCACTGATGATGAGCAGAGTCGGAATGGCATCACTGCATTGGGCGACAAGCTTGCAGAGAAGCGTGGAAAGATCTCTTATAAGGCAGTTCTTCCCCCTGATATCAGAGGAAATTTGAGTGTAGTAAAACAGGAACTAGAAAAGGTGAAGAATAAGGAATCCAGAGTGCTTGTTGTGCATACTTTGACTACTTTTGGTCCAATAATTCTCGAGGCAGCTGAGCAGCTTGGCATGTTAGGAGAAGGGTATGTTTGGATAGCTACTTCATGGTTACCTGCCAACTTAGATAGTACTCCAAATCCAAAGCTCTACAAAAACAGTCAGGGGGTAATCACACTTCGGCCCCATACTCCTGACTCGCAAAGGAAAAAGGCATTTATCTCTAGGTGGAACAACTTGAGCAAAGGCTCAACTGGGTTAAATGTATATGGGTTGTATGCCTATGACACTGTTTGGCTAATCGCCCGTGCTATTGATGCATTTCTACGACACGGCAACAATATATCCTTTTCAAATGATCCGGCCTTAACTGCTGTTGGAGGAGGAGATATGAATTTAAGTGCTTTGAGTATCTTTGATGGAGGAAAAGATTTGCTTAAGTTTATACTGGGAACCAATATGACAGGCCTCACTGGCCCAATTTGGTACAATCCTGACAGAGCTTTGGCTAACCCTTCTTATGATGTCATTAACATAGTTGGTAGGCAAATGAGGCAGATTGGATACTGGGCAAACTATTCTGGGTTATCTGTTATAGCACCAGAAACTCTTCGTGAAAGACCGCAGAACCGTTCAGGTGCCAGTCAGAAGCTACGCAGTGTTGTGTGGCCTGGAGGAACTAAGAACCAGCCTCGTGGTTGGGTTTTCCCTCGGGATGGGAGAAAATTGCGAGTTGGGGTTCCTCGTAGAGTCAGCTTTCCTGACTTTGTTTATGTAGACAATCAAACTCATGTTCCTCGTGGATACTGCATCGATGTTTTTGAAGCTGCCATAAAACTGCTGCCATATGCAGTTCCTCATGAGTTCATATTCTTTGGAGATGGGCATCGAAATCCCAGCTATAGTGATCTCGTATCAAGGATCACAACGGGGGTAAGTATATCATTTCATCTTGTCTACCTATGCTTTCTTGGGTTCTAAATATTCTATATTGATAGGTTTTTGTAAAGCACTTAACCCAGGCTTTCTTATGTTCTTCTACTGATTTAAAATACCATATAAAGGGTGTTGATAACTGATATTCAGATGTGATATTATAGGAATTTGATGCTGCTGTGGGAGACATTGCGATTGTGACCAACCGCACAAGAATTGCAGACTTCACTCAGCCATATGCAGATTCAGGGTTGGTTGTAGTAGCCCCAGTAAAAAAGTTGAGCTCTAATGACTGGACATTCTTAAGGCCATTTACACCACTCATGTGGGTGGTGACGGCTGTGTTTTTCCTTGTAGTGGGGGCAGTTATATGGATCCTAGAACATAGATTGAACGATGAATTTCGTGGGCCTCCCAGTAAACAGATTATGACAATTTTATGGTAAGTCATAATTCATGATTGTGCATTAAGAAGATAGATACTAAGTGGTGGTTTGGTTTGTATGAACTATGAAGTATCATTTCCCATGATGTAGCTCCTTTTTCAAAGATTATTTGATTAAATATAGGAAGTAGACTCCACTTATCTTGGGGATTAGTTAAGCAACTTGTTCCATTTAATTTACTTCCCAAGAAGTAAAATGTCTAGAGGTTTTGTCAACCAAGCAATACAAAAAATTTCAACTTCTTATGCAAGTCTATACAGAATATTAGCCAAACAACCACTTACATTTCTGAATTGTACGTTTCTGTATATGATTTCTCACTCATAATTTTCTTCTCAAATTGTCAGGTTTAGTTTCTCAACCCTGTTTTTTGCCCACAGTAAGTCTATTCTGATCAATCTTTCTGAATATCAGTTCTGGATATGTTTTTGGTTTAATTTACTGATCTTTATTGAAATATTCTGAACTTTTAGGAGAAAACACTGTGAGCACACTTGGTCGAGTGGTTCTTGTCATATGGTTGTTTGTGGTTTTGATCATTCAGTCAAGCTATACAGCTAGTTTGACTTCTTTCCTGACCGTCCAACAGCTAACATCTTCAATAAAAGGAATCGACTCATTGATTACTAGCACTGCACCTATAGGTTTCCAAGTAGGCTCTTATGCAGAAAACTATCTTCATGAGGAACTTAATATCCCTAAATCAAGGCTTAAGCCTCTAAACTCCCCACAAGAGTATGCTGATGCTCTCAAAGCAGGAAGAGTTGCTGCTGTGGTTGATGAACAGCCGTATGTTGATCTTTTTCTTTCAAACTACTGCCAATTTGCAGTTGCAGGCCAGGAATTCACCAAGAGTGGTTGGGGATTTGTGAGTATCACTAACTATGAGCTATAAGTAATTAGTTGTGTTTCTTACATTAGTAATTACAACAGAATCTTTTTAGCTAACAATTCTAGGAATCATCAGGCTTCACCTGTTGCAATATCATTTTGCATCTACTTTAAAAAAAAGAAAAAAATAAGAAAGGAGATGAATTTCAAAAACAAACCTATACTTTTCCGTATATACTGAAAAGTGTTCCTAAGTAAACCCATACACTTAGTGGCTTAACCATTGAATTATGTCATATTATGTATATGTCTTTTATTGCAAACTAAAAATGACAGCATAATAAACCAAAATTAATCAGATTCTTTTAATTGAAGCTGGTGTTCTGTTGTTGCCTTACAGTTCTTTGCTTTGATTACTTAGTTTGACACACACTGAGTCTATCTGTTTCTCAGGCTTTTAAGAGAGATTCTCCATTAGCTCTCGACATGTCAACAGCCATCCTCCAGCTATCAGAGAATGGCAGCCTGCAAAATATTACTGAGCGTAATCTTAAGCAAAAGCATGCTTGTCCATCAAATGTTGTAAACGATTCTGAACAGCTTAGGCTGGAAAACTTCGTCGGCTTATTTCTGATATGTGGCGTTGCTTGTATCCTCGCTCTTATCATATACTTCTCCATAATGCTCTACCAGTTCCACCAGCATCATTTGCCTCAACACACGGAACCTTCAACCCAGAGCAGCTCTCGGTCTGCACGAATCAAGACATTCTTGTCATTTGCTGACAAGAAGGAAGACCTGTCACAGAGAAAGTTGAAAAGGAAACGTATATCTGCATCCATGCCAACTCATGGTAGTGAGCCGGTGGAGATTGAATCCGGGGGAAAATCATCTAAAAGTGAAGATTTTAGAAGTTATCGTGACAACAATAGTAACAGCAATATTTGGAATTGATGAGAGGATCAAAGCTGATCCCAATTTCTTGTAATTATGTCCAAATATATATTAACTTTCCCTTAAACCTTTTGAAAATATATCATGTAGAAATCATTGAATGTATACAGGTTAGCTTGGTTAGTAGTAATACCATGGCAATGAGCTATTAGTGTTATAGAGAAAGACTGGAAGAACAGTTTTATCTTATAGTTCAAAATCTCCCCTTTGTATGTTCATATCATTTGGAGTAATGAACATATTTGTGTTTACTATAGTGACATAAATGAATAGAAATTTTCAATTCAGCAAATACAATTGCTTAATTATCTTATTTAACCATTCAATTGACATTATTTTCAAGGACATTCTAAGTTTAGGTAATGGGTTCATCTGTTGTATGAATCTTGAATCATCAAATTTTTATATTTAAAATTAAAATTGTCTCATAAATCCATTTAGATAACATATCATGACAAGAATGGGTAATGAAAGGGTGTGTTATTGATGAAATTTCTTGAAGAACATGCGGTAAAAAAAAAGTGAAGGTAAAAAGGTTTACAAACTAAATCAAGGTCCATAATTTTCAGTCCAAGAATATTACGGAGTACCACTGTACCAGTATTGTTTAATCTGTTTTGTTTAAAAAAGGGGTTTATTAAATGGATGAGTACATGAAATTGATTTATTTCAATCTGTTTTTTTGCTTGTTTTCTCCACCTTTTTCTCCATTTCTTGACCACCACCTTCACCTTCACCTCCACTCGCAATCTCTGCAATAATGGCAATCTGTGCTCAATCTCCATTGAAACCCATCAATCTCTCTCCTCATCTCAACCACCCCACCATTCACAAATCCCCATTCACCTGCAACTTTTCTCTCTCCTCCAAACCCACCCCAACTCTCTCCACTGAACCCACCCCTACCCTCACCTCCGTCACCACCTTCGCCCCTGCCACCGTCGCTAACCTCGGCCCTGGTTTCGACTTCCTCGGTTGCGCCGTCGATGGCCTCGGCGACTTCGTTTCTCTCTCCGTTGACCCTTCTGTTCACCCCGGTCAACTCTCAATCTCCTCCATTTCCGGCAACGCTTCTTCCAAACTCTCCAAAGACCCCCTTCTCAACTGCGCTGGTATCTCCGCTCTTGCCGCCATGAAACTCCTCAACATTCGCTCAGTTGGCCTTTCTCTCTCTCTCCAAAAAGGGCTTCCTCTCGGCTCCGGGCTCGGCTCGTCGGCGGCTTCAGCAGCCGCCGCCGCCGTCGCCGTCAACTCCCTCTTCGGCTCACCTCTTACCCACCTCGAGCTTGTCCACGCTGGACTTGAGTCGGAATCTAAGGTTTCCGGGTATCACGCCGACAACATTGCGCCGGCGATCATGGGGGGTTTCATCTTAATCAGGAGTTACGAGCCGTTAGATTTGGTGAAACTGGAGTTTCCTGAGGTTAATGATTTGTACTTTGTATTGGTTAGTCCGGAGTTTGAAGCTCCCACGAAGAAGATGAGAGCGGCATTGCCGAAAGAGATTGGGATGCCGCACCACGTGTGGAACTCTAGCCAGGCGGCTGCGCTGGTGGCGGCAGTGTTGAAGGGTGACGTGGCGGGATTAGGGAAGGCAATGTCGTCGGATAAGGTGGTGGAGCCGACACGGGCGCCGTTGATTCCTGGGATGGTGGCGGTGAAGAAGGCGGCGATTGAAGGGGGAGCGTTCGGGTGTACGATTAGCGGGGCCGGGCCTACAGCCGTGGCGATTACGGATAAAGAGGAGAAGGGGAGAGAGATTGGGGAAAGAATGGTGGAAGCATTTTGGAAGGAAGGAGGATTGAAAGCTGCTGCTGTTGTTCAGAAGCTTGATAGGGTGGGTGCTAGAGTTGTTAGCAGTGTTCCCAGATGAATGTTGTTTTTTGGGGTATGTTTTTTCAAAGCTTTTGTATTTTTTGATCAGTTTTGAATGATTTGTACTTCGTTTGAGATTATTTAGGGAAAGGAAATAAATCGTATTTGCTGAGTTGAATTAGAATCTGATGAGCTTTGAGCTCTTCCTCATATCATTGTAGCTGATTTTTTGTATTTTCTCTAATGATAATGATGATTTCAAGTTTTATTAAAGTTTTGATGGTTCAGTATGTTACCTTGAAACAAATTGTAATGGGAGTTGATCTTCGTCGTTGATTATGATCTTGTTCATGGAACTTGATGACTGAGTTTGGTCTTTGTGATCTGAACTCTGAACATCATTATAGATTTATAGCGCGAAAGGATCTGGTGAAACTAGAAATGACACTTTAGGTTGGAGGGGGAAGGGTTGAAGGACTTCAGAACTAATATAGGTCTTGTACGAGGATTTGGTTGCTGCGACTGGTTGTCTCATTATGAGAATAGAAGAATTTGTAGTCAAACCTTACTGTTTACCACCCATACTTCATTCCTTTGGGTGAAATGTTTGGAAGAGAGGGTGCAATAGTATGCAGCTAGGAACGTATTGGTGGTAATGCTATGTACTTTATTCCAAGCATGCCAGCACCATTGAATCCAGATTTAATGAATTCTTGCTTTTAATGTGCTGGTTGAGTTGTGTTGTCTTAGGATCTTTGAGGGCAGATGGAAGTAGAGGAGCTCTCCTGAAACGTGTACAATCCTAACAAAACCTCTAGAAGCTGTGGGTTCCGTAGTATTTGTCTTCCTTTCTTTTCTCGATTCTTGACAAAATGTCAAATTATAAAATATTGTGGTCAGCTGTGACTTAGAGTCTTCCATCTTCAATAATGAGTGAATAGTTGTAGGAATAGTTCCCACGGAGCATATTCCCGTCTTGTTGGCTGAATTAGTTTGAGATGACTGCACTAAGCTGAAGGAATAAGAAAATGAACGATAAAATTGCATGGTTCTTATTATTTACTACTGCAGTTAGTATACTGCAGAGACACCTCAATTATAATATGATAATCTTGCTTTTACCAGCATAGATGCTTGATGAATTACACCCATTTAGACAATCTAATGCTTGTGTGATGGAGCAGACACTGTATGGAGCTGGGAGAAGATATTTTGTGAGAATATACTTCTGCTGCTCTATTATTGCTGCTATCTGTTTGTTGTCTGTTACTAATTGGTTATCTTTATCTTATTTTATTTTTTGGCAAATAAATGGAGAGAACCTTGGGGCACCTGCCATCAAAATGACTCTTGGCTCATACATTTGCTGTTTCACTTGTTACTAATAAGATAATATACTATAGCATATCTTTAATACACTGCTATAATTCTTCCTTGTCTTATTTGCTTAGATTTGCTATATTCTTCTATGGGTGTAAACTTAAAAGTGTCCTTTAACAATTATTTCACTTACACAAATTATTAATATAAAACATTTACTTGAAACCGTCGCCACTGTACTAAATGTTACCTGTTATCATGGACCGGTTGAGCTTCATTAAGAAGTCCTTTTCAGATTATTGATTGAGAATCATTCAGTGTACTTCTGGATGGAATTTAGGTTAATGTTGGAAAAATGGATGGTGGGCGATGGAGAACAAAAGCACAGGCGTAAAAGAATGACCCAGATTCTTTAATAGACCACCTTTTCTGCTCATTGTGGAGAGTTCCTTTTCGTGTAGTCTATCCCACTACCAAAAGTTCCTTTAATTTTTTGTCATGTTTATGCTATAAAATATGCATGTTTTTTTTTAATTAATTATTGAATAAAGTTGCTAGTTGTAGAAATGGAACTCTGCTTATAAACTTGGTTATAGGAGCAGCAGTCATGCTGTTGTGTGCTTGTGCTTATTATCATGTTCAAGCATTTGTGAGATACTTGCCACTGACCAAGTAATCTATTTGCTCTTTAGTTCTTGTTAGTGCCAGATACAAAGCTGTTATATAAGAAGATATATAATGATAGTGGAAAGAACACATGTTCCACTTCCTGTTAATCAGTGTCCTTGTTAGGATTTGTTATGGTTTATACTTTTGCATTGCACTTGTTCATGTCCATTGGCCATAACTATTCAAACACTGTCAGTTGTTTATGGAGCTTTGTCTCAAGAAGTTTAATCTCCTAGCAGGCTGGCACAGTGCAGAAATGACACGCTAAATATATTGCTAATAAAAAAGAGGAAGAGGTCAATAATTATTATATACCAATTTTTTTATGCTAGTATGTTCAGTGAAATGAAGGTTTTATAATCTTCATAGTGTCTTTTCATGTATGTTTGATTTCTTCTTAAATGAACTAGATGCTTACTAGTTACAACTTCATTGCATGTAATTTGTTTAGCGTTGGTGTTTTACTTTGAATGCAGTTTACTTATTCCCTGTAGTTTTGTGGTCTGATTTCTAGTTTACACTTTCTGCCTTAACATGTGTGTGAAACTGTATACCATTTTGAGAAAGGAGATTAATATTCTACTTAGACAATTGTTTCATATTTCTAATGATTGCATTTTATGAAGTCTTGGGAAGACTATGACATGAGTACATTGCCAAGTCTTTATATTGTCACTTGCTGAGATGTAGTTATTTAGTGTATTTACAATAGAAATAATTTTGGATGGTGGGCCTTAAATAGATATTTAGTTGAGCTGCAAAATGCTTTATAAGCTCATGGTTACCTAGTCTCTCTAAAGAATCAAGAGAGGAAAAAGTTTTTTTTTTAATTTATTTTTTGAGGGGGCAGGAAGGAAAGTTAAAATTTCTGTCTTGTTATTGGTTGACAGCAACTTGCTACGTATCGCTATTACTATAAAAGCTTTGCAGACCTAGAGGCTCAGACTTAACCTCTGAGAGATTAAACCCTTTATATGCACACCCTTGTACACTTTACAAACCCCTCCCCTCTCTCTTGAAAAGATTACAGAGAACAGGAAAAGAAAGAAAAGTCATGGTTGTTAGTCTAAGACTTCTTTCTGCAGTTAACACATCAGTGTCTGCCAATAATGCGGGACTAACTTCGACCCAATCAGACTATGTCGTCATCTTGGCTGCTCTCTTTTGTGCTCTTATCTGTGCAGTTGGCCTTGCAATGGCAGCACGCTGTGTGTGTCTTTACCGCCCTTTCAATCTTTTCACAACAGCTCCAGTCTTTCATACTTCAGCACCTCCTCCGTCAGGTCTCAGTAAGAAGACCCTCCAGTTACTGCCTACAACGAAGTATCTTTGTGAAGCAGATGATAGTAATAAACAGGATGACTGTGCCATCTGCTTGACAGAGTTTTCTGATGGAGAAATGATGAGGGTTCTTCCACGATGTGGCCATGTATTTCATATAACCTGCATTGATAAATGGCTTGGGTCCCACTCATCGTGTCCATCTTGTAGACAATTAGTTCTGGTAGCTGGTAAATGTCATCACTGTGGAGGATTTTCTGCCCATCAAGGCTTCCATGGCACTGCCAATGAGGTGCATACGAGAGAGACTGACGTGATGCGCAGGCAAGAGCCTCAAGACTATATGCTTACATATTTACCATAATAACAACAGGAAGTGATGTGTATTTTTTTATTGTTTCGTTATAATTACCTACTTTCATTTGATTGGAGCGGGCGTGCCATACATGTCAAATTGCTAAATCTAATGGAAAAGAAGTATAGGAATCCATTCAAGTGCATTTGATTATGACATTCTTCTAGCATTGTCAGTTATGGTATTATGTGAAGTTTGGGATTTTGCATCTTGCTACATACGTATGTGCCATGAGTTTGGGGATCATATCAAGCTGCAAGGTCGCCTTTGCTTTGGTCTAGTGAGACAAATTTACTACGTAGTGTTTGGCAGAGAAATACTTCATTCATCAGCAATTCAGTATCACTGAACCTTTGGTGCTCTTATACTGTTGTACACTTGTACTTGTCCAAGACCCTGATTCTCAGCCAAGATGCCCCCCTCGCCCCAGGGAAGTTAGTCACAAAAATGCTTAAAAAGCACTGTTATGAATTATGATGTAACAAATATGAAAGACCAGAACTGTCGTGAAAACACCAATGGTGGATGACTTGCTTGAGTTTCCTGTATACAATACTGGTAGTAACGAAAGTCCAATGGTTCATGACAGAGGAGCCAAGTTCCAGGTACTTGGGCATAATTCACATTGTCTATTCTTTGGCATTATAGAGCTCTTTGCTGTCTAAGAGATACGCCATTAGCATTAGTGAAACTGTGAAAGCAGCTTTTTATGTACAACTTGCTGCAGAACACTTGTATACACTATACTGTGGTTTTTAATATTAATCGAAATTATGTGCACCACTAAATTTGTTATGATTTTTAGATATTTTAAGTTCATGAAATCATGAGATTAATGCTGTTATTTAAAATTCAAGATGCTTGCAAGTAATATGGTGCCTTAATAATCTCTTGTTCTGATAAGCATTCTTAGCCTTTTTTTTTTTTTTTTTTAATAAAGATTAGAGTATACGGTATATACCTATTTTAGTGGAAGCTCCATAATCTTAAAAGCTCTTGTATCAAATCCTAATTATTCTAATCTCCCTTGCTCACTCTAGCAGATGCCTTAGTTTTAACTTCTCTTTCATTTAATTTGAGTGTATGTGGTAGTCTACTGTCTACGAACACTTCCACTAGAAAGTTGACACAGGGAGGGAGAGTCAACTAGTCAAGAAGGGAAAACTTTCGCTTAAATGACGCCATTATTAGCTGACTAGGAGAATTTAGAATTTTTTGCTACTCGTATATTAATTGTGCATAAGGTTTGACCCCACTTTTTCAAGTTTTCAACTAATATAAAACTAACAACTCAAAGTGTATGTTGGGACTTGGATGATAGAATTTCAAAAGTCTCATTCATAGAATTATTTGCATAAGTTAGTGGCTTTGGTCTTGAGATAACTGCTTGGAGCTACTAGATGATCGGTTTAACTAAAACCTTTAACGAAACATACGAACTCAAACAAATGCAAGTCCAATGCAAAAAGAGTCTTCAATCTTCAGAATGAAACTCAAAACTTTGAATAAAAATTCATATAATTTTGCTCTTTTTCTTTGATGTTAGCTTTATATATTAAGTTCATGTCAGTGAGTGTTTGTAAAGTCTGAAGGTTTTTTTTTTTTTTTTTTTTTTTTTTTGAAACTGGGACAAGTGTACAAAAGAGAAAATTAAGCCCTCTCTATATATCCTTTTTGTGGAGTTTGCTTCATACATCCTCCCTCATATCAGGAAGGGAAATAGAGTCTTAAGTTTATGTCAATGTAGACAAATTTGTATTAATAATTCTAGTTGTGTCATAGTTCATGTCAAATATTGTAAGAGAGAATAATTTTAACAGCGTCCGACAAGTAGGGCAATAGAGGATCAAGAGGTATAAAAACATTTACCCTCTCTAGTGTTTATGGGGTGTTATAAACTGTGATGATTTTTGGATGAACAAACGGAACTAAGAAGTGGAAAAACTCAAGCTCGTGAATGTGACCACCATTACTGGAAATAATTTACTGTCTGAAATTTGGTAATTAAACAGCCAAGTTTTAAGAAACACTGTGATCAAAAGAGCTGCAACAAAACTATTTACTTGGACTGACCAATAATATCCAGAGTTGGGAATACTATCCTTTCCCTTAGCAACCCTATAAAAACTGCACTGCAAATCAATCCTTGTCTTCGGAAGGGTGTCTTGCGCCAAGAGCAAAGAACTCGGTGATTACCTCCAGGGGCATGCCCTTTGTTTCAGGAACCTTTACAAAGATGAAAACCCATGCAATAAAACTAACAACGGCATAGAAGCCAAAGACGCCAGCTAGTCCAAAAGCATTAAGCATGATAGGAAGGGTGTCGGTAACTATGATATCACCAATCCAAAAGGTAAGTGCACAAATAGCAATGCAGAGACCGCGAATTTTGGTAGGGAAAATTTCTGCACACATGATATTTGGGATAGGGCCAAATCCCATAACAAAGAAGCAGAAGTAGAGAACTACGGAGATGGTAGATATCACAGCATGCACAGTGGTACCCATCTTTATCAGATTTCCGAGTATCAGGACGACTAGCGATAGGAATAAAACAGGAATTGTGGTCAGCAGCAAAGTCCTGCCAAGAAACATAAATTAACATGTCACAAAAGGAAAGGAAAGGCTTACATAAAAATTTGAGGTATAACTTTGACTTAAGCTCACTTACAGTCTTTTTGATGCATCATGCAATTACAGAAATGACTGAAATATACTTGAAACACAATTAAAAAAAAAAAAAAAAAAACATCCAAATATAGCATATGGCAATATGCTAACAACATTTTTTATACAAAAAATTATGAAAAGAATACTAGAAGAATCAAGGTTAAACTAAATGGACTCTAATTCCTTAGGCTTTGCTTTCTGTGGCTTGAAGCCTGGCTCAGGCTCAATTAAAGCCTCCTCTAAACAAAAATGAGCAGGGACAAGCAATCACAAAATTAGCTTTTACTGAAACAAAAGGCCATTGGGTGGTGAAAGTCAAATTTTACCTCCTTCCAGAAATATCCATAAGCCTCATTGCAACAGCTATGGCAGGCAGCATTAGAAGAGTGGTGAGTGCACTGATGAGCAATGACGCAGAGGAAGAACCGATACCCATGTGCGAAAGAAGATCACCAACCCCAGCCTGCTCTAATATTTGAGGAGTGTAATACAGGACCCCATTTATCCCAGAGAACTGCACCAAGAAAAATATAAACCATGTGAGAATCACAAGGCCAGATTACAATTCACAAGAAAAATAGAAAATGCTCATACGAATTTCAGACAATACTGAACATTAATTGAAATTGGTAACAGCCTACTCATGAAAAGCTTTCATTTCTAAAAACTAGGAAATGAGAATGGACAGATGTGTGTCCGCTAAATTTGCATGGAAATAAATTCATTTGTGGTAAATTTAGAATATAGCACCCAAATCATATGATCCCAGGGGAATGTTTAAAACTGCGAAGGTGTTGATTTGAAACAGTAACTAATGCTATTGAGTCAAATATCTATACACAAAAAGGCCTCAAAGGGAAACTAAAATTCTCTACAAAGTGTTTTTGCACATAAATTCAGACATTATATCATTATATGATTCAATAGAAACCACTTTTGGTTTGCTGGCAATTTGTAACTTAATCAGACAATCACAGTCCATCATGTCCAAGATGTCGCTGATTCCCAAAGTCAAACAAATCAATTAATGTCATGTATCAGCAACAGCTATAAGAGAAAGGAATTATAAGAGGCTAAGAGGATGAAGGTAGGCAAGAGTCGAAAAGGAAAAACAAAAAATTGAAAAACAACCCCTGCTCTAGCACCACATGCTTTCTAGAAGGAATAGCTCTTTTTACCTGCTGAAGAAGTTGAAGTCCAACACCAACAACTAATGCACGCCTGACACCAGGTTCTAACAGGTCTCTCCAACTAGGTCCTTTTCCAGCAGTCTGAGAAGGGTGAACCATAGCTGGTCCATTTGCACGGTGCTCTATGAACTCCCTCGAATAAAGGGCTGGTTGACTCACTAGTGCAGCCGCCTTAACATAGTCGGTATCACCAGTAACATCACCGCCAGGAAGAGATAACAAAAATCCTCGTTTAGATCCTGCATCACCCTCTTGGTGTAAATAAAGTCTTTTGAATCCTCCTTCCTTCTTCCCATCTGGACCTTCTCTCTCACTCCATTTCCAAGCCAGCTGCCAACCACCACCAATACCACTAGCTTCACTTCCTTGTATTAAACTACTAGGCTTCATGCTGAACATGCTGCCCGAAGCAGGAGCAACCATGGCTTTATCTGTACCTGAAGTCTGATGAGATATAAGTGGACTTCGTAGGTCTTCATCCTCTTCAGCATAATCTTCATCGTCATGAGCATAATCATCATCATCCCCAGGAATATTTTCTTCATCCCACTCTTCATTTCTAGGATCTTTCCCTCCTATACTAAACATACTACCAAAATTTGGGAAGATGATACTTCGCATGCTTCCTTGTTCTGGAAGCTTCTCATGTACGCTACCAAAAAGTGTGACAAGAGGGTCTACAAAGGAACTGCCAGGATTCTGAATGCTTCCCTGGCGAGATGCAAGGCCCAGCATACTCTGGCCAGTGACGGGTCTGGCAACCCAGGATCGGCCTACTTCAGACCCATATAACTTAATCTGATCTTTGACAACCATAGGATCTTGGTCCTCAGTGTTTTCAGCATCTGGCTCAATTAAGTATTCTTCTATTGATGTGTCACCTCCAACTCCAAGCCCCTCAACAAGTAGAGCCATTTCAGCTGTTCATCCAAAAAAAAAAATATGTAACTGATATAACATTGCTTTAGCTTCCAATCTCCAATCAACAATTATACTTCCTTTACTTAAGTTTGACCATTATCTCCTTTGGTCTGTCTAACATTGATTATCATACATATTCATTGTCACTCGGCGAATAATACTTAGCTTCACTGAACTCTCAATTGTTGGTTTATTTGATCTCTTGCTAGCAAGCTTGTCTATTTTAACCAGAAAGTCTTCATTATTATTAATCAAAGTAAAAAAAAAAAAAAAAAAAAAAAAGGAGTAAGTGTCATGTCCAGTAAAAATGTAGATAATTTTGACAACCGGCTTATGTTTACAAGCAAAGTTCAAATGTAACTATGGAAGTAGCAGAAGACTAACCAGAGACATCTTCCCTGCCCCGCAATTGTTGAAGAACCATTTTGGCCTCAATCATTTTTCCTTTACTAACAAGCCATCGAGGAGACTCAGGTAAGAAGAATACAGTTAATACAAAATAAATCAGGGATGGAACAAAAAGAATCCCAAGCATCAATCTCCAGCTAGGTTTTTCCATTAATGACATCCCAAAAACCATACAGTACGCAACAAACATTCCACCAGAACCAGTAAACTGAGGAAGTGTATTCAATGTACCCCTTATTTCAGTTGGGGCTGTTTCTGATATATAAAGAGGAACAAGAGTAACAGCCAAACCACTTCCGAAACCATCCAATAGCCGACCCAAGAGTAGAACATAAACATTGGGAGACCACAACATTATCAAGGCACTAACAAAGAAGCATACAGAGGAAATAATCATCATAGGGCGACGCCCAATACGATCTGAAATCGGCCCAGAGCATGTTGTGATAATAGTGGCACCAATTAATGACATAGCCACAATTAAGCCTTCCAAAGTTGGTGCACTCTCCAATTCGAATTCTTTCTTAATATATAACACAGCCCCTGGAATAAAACAAAGATAAAAACCCCACCAAAATTCTTAGTAAGTCTGAATGCTGAAACCCAGAGATCATGATCCTAAAATTACTAACAAATCAATGTAAACGAATTCCTCAAAAACATAATGCATATATGAACAATCATGTACTCCCTCCATTCTTTAAAGTTCTTCCTACTTCCGTTTTCATCCATTAAAGTAACCACCACAAAGATCATTAATGAAAAAAGACAGTAATTTTCTTTTTATCATCATTCTTTCTCCAATTTTCCCCATTTCATCTCTTTGCAAGGGTTTTCCCATGTTTTTACCAATAATGTAAAATTGGCCAAAAATCCAACTTTATAGTTTACACATAATCTTAATTAGGCAAATTCGAGGAGCATAAAAATAAACAATTAAACTACTGAAAAATCAATAATGGAAAGAATTAAGAATTGATGAGCATATTACCAGCAATAGTAGCATTGTCCCATCCTTGCAACAAATTCCCAACTGTTGCAGCGATTGCAACTAATACTGCCCCACTCATTTTTACCTCAAATTAATCTACTTCTTCAATAATCTGTCAGAAAACCCACGATTAAAAAAACTCAATTAACATCAGTTAATTCTTAAATTACATAATGAAATTTAAATAAAAAAAATATTGACACATGCAAAATACAGCAAACCCCAATTAATTAAGAATGGGAAAAAATCAAAGAAAAACAAAAAAACCCATGCAAGAAACAGGAAAATAGACGGACCCAGATGAGAAAATAGCCAATTTTCATGAAATTTTTGTTATACTTCAAGTTAGAAACAGAATGGTTCAGAATTTCAGATAATTCTAATTACTGTTAATCATATGAAAGAGATAAAATTTGAAATCTGAACAAAACAAAAATACAACTTTCAAGAAAAT